GGGGGGGGGGGGGGTCGAGCGCCAGGTCTGCGGTCTGAGCCAAGTCTCAAAGTCGGGAGGTAATCTTTGAGGGCTGACAGAATGGAGAAGAGGGCAGAGGGCGGAGCGGCACAATGCAGAGCGGATATGGCGCGAGTGTGGAACCCGACCACAGACGAAATTACAGAGCCGAGGAGGGTTGTCAGAATCCTAGACTAGAAGCGCAAAACATGGTTGTCTGCATTGAAAAACAAGAGCCCCCGGAAATCCCGCGCAATCTCAAAATTTCGAAAACTGCAGATGGGGAAGCGACTAGCGAAAGGCTGCTCGGATATCGGGGACAAATACCAATGGTATCAAACGTATCTCAAAAATGCTATATGCTATGCAAGTCTAGACAACAAAACAAGAACAAAAGGGAGAACCCCCAGGCTAAGGCGTCGACGCGATGTGGTCCCGCCCATCATCAGCCCTTGCCTCTATGTTGGCAACCGCACTCTGCAGGGCGCTTGTCAAGTCCACATGGAAGAGCGGCCGGTTGAGCCCATGCACCGCCACTGCGCGCGGCCCGGCCTTGGCGGGCGAGCGGGCCCGGCTGGCCTCCTCCGTCTCGGCTTCGGTGCTGGAGTCACCAGCGCCCAGCTCGAGGTCCGCCTTCTTATCGAGTCCTGCGCTCTGGCGCCTCGAGAGCCCCTGTCCCAGCTCCTTCTCGTTGATTCGCTTCTCCGCCACCGCTGCCGCGCTGTCGGAGCCGCCTATCTCGGCCACCGAGAAGATGGAACGCCACCGGTGGTGGAGGCCATCCGGCCGCTCCGTCGGGTACCCAAACCCGGCCGCGACAAGAGCCCGTTTGGTCCAGCGGTTGTTGATGCAAGCAATGTGCCAGTCAACAAAATCGGGCGAGGTATAGCGGTCCAGGTGGTTCCTCGTGTCGATGAGCTGTTGCATGCTGGATATGTCGACGTGGTTGACAGAACTGAAGTCCAGAATGATGGCCTTGAGGGTTGGGAGGTCGGGGTTCAGGCCCGGGACGGCCGATGCGTCGCCCGCAGCCTTCCTTTTGAGCTGCCGCTTCGACGGGCCTGGGTCGTTCCAGGGCCGATCCCCTGGCCGTGCGTACTCTGTCGTATTTGTTCGCCTGGTGTAGGCAAAGACGTAGCCGGTCAGGTATTCGAGAGTGTGCGATGCGTTGGGGTAGTTGAACCCTTCCGAGAATCGATAGATGAAAACTCCAGGATAGGGGCTATCAACTCCGACATCAGGGTTAGAGCCATCGCCGTGGTCGATGGGCAGGAATATGTTCCGCGCCGGGTTGGCGCCCGGTTTGGGAAACGTGCCATACTGCCCAACCACCTCGTTGTGGTCCTCTCCAATGATGTTGTCCCGCAGGACCGAGTGCACCTTGACTCTGCCGAGGAATTGGCCTCGGGCCTTGAGGATGCGGCCGATCAGCACGGCTGCGGATATGGCTACAGTCGCGTAGATGCCGTTCTCGATGGTGGAGAAGACGGTGATTATGACGCCAGTAAAAAAGATGAGGACCTCGAGCGGCGAAACACACCAAAACTGATAGATAGTGTTGGGTGGTGTGATAAGGTCACCGACAGCATGGATTATGACCGCGGCGAGCGAAGCGCTAGGGATGAAGTAGAAGACCGGTGGTAGCGCGTAGATGGAAATGAGAACGACCACACCCGTAATGACACCAGCGAAAGGGGTGCGCACGCCAGCCTTGGACTTGATGGCGGTTCGGCTGAAGCTGCCGGTGGAAGGATAGCCACCCAGAAACGGGGCCAGAAGGTTTGTAACGCCAATGGCGACCATCTCCTGGGAAGGGTTAATGGTGTAGTTGTTGACGCGGCCGAAAGATTTGGATATGGCGACATGCTCGATGAGCAAAACTATGACTGTTGCTGGTAGGTACGTCGCCAGCGCGCTCGCTATCTTGGGGTCGATGGCTGGGACCTCGGCGTGCTGGAAGCCGCTGGGAATGTCTTGCAGGATCTTGAAGCTTGGCTTTGTCTTATGGTTCATGTTAACCAGCCAACTGATCATGGTGAAGAGAAGAATGACGAAGGCTGTCCTCAGGGTCGAGAGGAAGAAAAACAGCCGTTGGCGCCCTGGGAAACGCTTGGCCAGCAGGGAGCAGGCGGACCGGATCGAGTAGAGCAAGGCAAGAGCCGACAGCCCCATTGCGGCATCCAGCTTTGAGTGCCCCAGGTTCTTCAGTGTGTTGATGAGCACGAGGTACGGAGCGTCCCGGGTCGAAAATCCCGAGATGCCCATCATTGTTGGGATCTGGCCGATAACGATGTTGATGGCAGAGCCTGTCATGAAGGCCGACAGAGATGTCAAGCTAATTAAATCAACGATGAAGCCAGTCCTAGTGAGGCCGAGGAACAGAACAATCGCTCCAGCGAGAATAGCCAGGGCCGACGCGACAACGTGGCCGGGGACCTCGGGGAACTGCCTCGCCATGTCTGCCACGATTCCGCCAGTAAGGGTTGACATGACAGCAACGGGGCCGATGGTGATGTCTTTGGATGTTGCGAAGAACCAATATGTGATGACCCCCATAAAGGACGAGTACAGGCCGAACTGCGGCTCGAGGTTGGCAAGGATCGCGTATGCCATGCCCTGGGGGATCACAACAACGCCGATGGTGATGCCGGCAACAAGATCGCCGATGAGCCATTGTAGGTTGTAGTGGCCGATCCAATCGAGAAAAGGAAACAGCGACCTTGTGTAAGTGACGGTGTCCTTTCCGGTTGGCACCAGGCTGGCCAAGAAGTCTCGCGTTGAAGGTGGCTCCTCGACGAAGGCATCGCCACTGTGGGCGGAGAGGACGGACTCGCCCCTTGTGACCTCGTCCTGGTAAGGCTGGTTGTTGCGGAGCTTGATGCCCAGGGCCTTGGCCAGGCCTTGGCCGACCTTTGCACCAGTGCTTGCCATTGTTGAAAGCACGAGATCCCAAAGCCTCGTTGGAATGGGTGGTTGTAGTAGGGTGGCGGGTGTGTGCGAGGGACTTCCCGAGCTTGGTTATTTGCCAAGCGTGAGAGTCTTATATGGTCACCCAAGAAGAATGGCTGACCAACCCCACGCGGAGAGGTTCTAGGATGGAAAGAAAGAAAGATTACTTTAGGTAATATGCATAGCTAGCGTGGCGGCCATGTAGACACAACACCAGATATTGTAGGTAGATGGTCGGTACGTATGTCGGTATATATCTCGGGGGGTCCGGCTAAGGGGCAAGCAGAGGCGGGTGAGCGTCAGCAGTTGGATTAGAAACCACATGCGACTTCCATTTTCTCTGTGGGGATGGATGGTAGTGCCGTGGCTGCCAGGGCTGAGGATACCCGCTATGGCGCAATCTAGCGCTTGCTAGTCACAGCTCAGGAAAGACGAAGGGGAGCCTTCTTGTTGCAAGTGTGCACGTCAGGCCCAAGACCGGGCGGGTCAAAGTGTGGGCTGCGCAAGAGGGAAGGGTCTTAGCAAGACGAGAAAGCAGCCACTCGGCTATTCTGTTGGGCAGCAGTCCCTTGAGATGGCTTTCTCCGTAATTCGGCGGCTTCATTTTTGGATGCAGCGATCGAAAGGGGGTCACGGATGTCATGCTGCCGCCGCGGGCTCGGGTTAGCCCAGCCTATCATGTTTCCTTGACACGATTCCTCGACCACAGTATTGGTGCCGCAGAGGCGTAACGGACAGCCCGCTACTTAGACAGGGCGTTTGACTTCTGTAATGGTGTGTCCACGAGACGGACAAGGTGATCGTGAAAACGCAGTGGTGGTCCACATGGTGAGCACGTCATCCTGGTTGAGATTGATGTCAACCAGCCATAGTGGGGCCCCCGCAATTGATTTTCTTCTGGAGCTGAGAATCAAGGCGGACCTGAGCTGCATTCAGCTCCCCCTGTCCATCACACCATCACGAGACATTTCACATGACTACAAACCAGTTGGTTCGTCGAAGGCTTCTCCTTCTTCCGACCTAGCCGGGCAATGCAGCCGGGCCTGCGACGCCGGCGGTCCCATGGCAGGAGGGAGGTTTCAATGGGACGCGACCGCATCGATGGACCAGGTCCAGCTCCCAGGTGCTTGGCCAATATAGATTGATGGTCATGGACTTGGTACTGATTGGTTTAACAATTGACGACGAGACAGCGATGACCTGCATCTCGACGTTATTTTTGTTCCTATTCAACACTTTGATGGTTCCCAGATCGCAATCGCAGTTGCAATGATAGATAACCAAGGCCGTTGATTGACGTTGACAAACGCGAGTAGTAGGGGGGAAAAAAATGAAATGAAAAAAAAGATGAAGAAAAAAAGCAAGAAACGCGTCTACACCGTAGCGTTACGCAGTCTGGTGTTCATGCAGCAGCCCTTGCCCCATCTAACCTCACCAACCTCCTCTTCCCCGCTCAGTTGCCGCGACTTGACTGCGCATCAACGAACGAGGACTGCAGCCGCGTCTTTCACCAAATCATCCGGAGACTGCCGAATCGACGACGAGACCTGTAAATCAATTGAACAGGACACGTCCCAGACAGTCTCGTCAATCCGAGGCGGTCCGTCTCCCTCTCCAGCAGCGACGTGACCCCCGCTTCGCTCGAAGGCATCATCGGCGACCCGGCAAATCTATCTACCTCAGACTCCCTCGCGACATCGCCCTCCCGTCTACCCTGCTCCGCGCGTCGCCATGGTCGGCACAATGAAAGAGTCGATCCCCTCCCTGCCGCCCCCGGCATCTGCGACGCTGCATCCTCCGCCGTCGCCCGGAACTCATCGAGCTCTCCGGAAACTCCAGTCGGCTCACAACCTCGGTGCCAAAGCCTCCAATCTCGGCAGCACACCCACTCTCACTTCCCAACAACGTCTACACCCGAGACCCGTGTCGCCCTTCCGGAGGAACGTTAGTAACGGTAGCCACCGCGGGCTCAGCGACAACACCGGCACATCTGCCACCAGCACCAGCAATCCCGGCAGCAGTAACGCAACAACTGCTGGCGCCGCCCCGGCCGCGGCAAATAATAACGGAGGAGGCGGCGTCAACACCGGAACTGGACGCACGCCACAGCGCACACGGGGGAGAGCCAACAGCGATGCGCCCGTCCTACAACAGACGCCCGGGGGCACTATAATTGCCCCCCGGAGCAGACGCGCCCCCCTTACCAGGCGCTCGGCCGCCGCGGACCAGCTTTCGCTCGAGCGTCTCCTACCTACAGGCCCCCTGGACGGAGACCTGGCGGGCTCCATCGAGAGCATGCGGTACAGCATACTCAACGATGGCATTAAATCAAACAGTGAGGGGATGGTGAGACGGCCCTTGCTCCTCTACCTGTACCATGACCAAAACTTGCTCACACCTGTCACAGTCGCAACTGCGTATATACTTGTGGCTCATCATGCTCGACTGTCCTGTTCTGGAGACGGATGCATACCTCGACCTCATCCATCGCGGTGCTTCGCCAGCATACTCCAAAATCCGCAATGACACCTTCCGCACCCTGACCACAGATCCGCTTTTCCGCAGGCGCGTGAGCGAGGCCAGCTTGATCCGCCTGCTCAATGCCGTCGCCTGGAAGCTGCATGACGGCCGCGAGGAGGACCGCGTCAGGCAGTCGGCCGGCAGGCAGTCTCTCCCACACTTGGGCGACTCGCCGACCCGGGCAGGTGGAGGTGGCGGTGTGATCAGCAGCAACAGCAGCATCAGCGGAAGCAACCCCCGAGGTGGCAGCAGCAACAACGGCCTGTCGGTATCGGCGTCGTCCCCTGCAGCCAAGAACCGCGCTCGGGCGCTCACGCTAACGACCGAGGGCTCTGACTGCAGTGTAGCGCCAGAGTCGGGCACATATGTCCAGGGCATGAACGTTCTCGCTGCGCCTTTCCTCTATGCTGCGCGCAGCGAGTCGGAGGCTTTTGTGGCCTTCCATCAGCTCCTCACCAAGGAGCTCCCAGGCTACATCAGGGGCGCCATGGACGGTGTGCACAAGGGTCTGCGCCTGGTGGACAAGGTGCTCTCCATTGTTGACGAGAAGCTAAGCAGGTACCTCACATCTAAGGGGCTCACGGCCGAGATATACGCCTTTCCGTCCGTCCTGACTCTCTCGGCCTGCACGCCACCTTTGCCCGAGGTGTTGCAGCTCTGGGATTTCCTGTTCGCCTATGGTCCGCACCTGAACATCCTGTGCATTGTTGCGCAGCTTATGTTGATCCGCAGCCAGATCATGGCGTCTCCCAGGTGAGCATGAATGGTTCCTCTGCCTCCAACTGCATATGGACACGCATGGCTAACATGGGGTCCCTTGGCCGTCTCACCAGTCCCAACAAACTCCTTCGGTCATTCCCGGCTCTCCAGGCCGAGCAGATCAAGAGATTGACCCTGTTTATTGCTAAGAACATACCGGACCATGTCTACGCCGAGATTATCAACCACGCTCGCTGATGGTTGACAGCTTTGTTCTGTGCCTAACCTGTGCCGAGCGCGAATGTAGCATGTTGCTGCGTGTAAACTTTCCTTTTTTACCTTTCTGACTCTCTTTATATGAGGGCCACGTCGGTAACGCACGATTTACGAAGTCACGAATGCCAAAACGGGGTGGGTGTAGACGACAGAGGCGGAAATGCACAAAAAGAATGCCGATTTAAGGCGGAAACCAGGGGCAAAGAAGTAAACCTTGAGACGGGTGTTAATCTGTTGGAAAGATGATGTAATAATATGCTTTATGTTCAATATGCTTGAGCCCCAAAGTATCTGATAACGTACGCCTTGAACGCTGAGCTCAAGTTTCAAGATGGTCAATCATTGAACCAATGTCGTTCAGGCTAAGACGCAGAGATAGAGCTACTAGCACGATGGATATTCCTTCTGCGGCAAATACCGTTATATAGGTAGCAATGATAAGTAACATAAGCAATAAACACCACCCCTAGGGAGAGATCAAACTCGCCGGACAGCCAAGCGTGACGTGCACCGTCTGGCAACGGGACAAAACAGGCAGTTTGGGGGTGGATGCGGTTACACACATGCCTGCCAAACGGGCGCAATATCCCGGCAGAGATATTGGTTACCTCTGCCCGCTTTGCATGCCGCTCCTCAATGACGCCCACATCCCGAGGCAGAAGAAGGAAAGAAGAGAAACCTGCACGCTAATCTATTTGCTTTCTGCGGCAGCGGCAGCAGCAGCAGCAAGGTGGGAGACAGGGCAGTCTGCAGTAGCACCAGGCGGGTGCGGGAGATAAGACGAGAAAGTGGGGAGGAGAGAAGGGCCACAGGCGCCTTGGCGTTCCAGCTGCCTCTTCGTGTCCTGGGCGTGGTCATGTCTGTCTGTGTTGCTCCCACTCTGTGTTGTGCGAGGGGAGGAGGATGAGAGGAACCAACAACCCGGCTTTTTTTCCCGTTTCGCTATCCCGGCTTGGCTCGGCGTCGGCGTCTTTTAATTCTTTCTATCTCGCGTCATCCTGCCTTAAAGGATGATGATGCAAAGAGGATAAAAGCCTCCACCCCCTGCTCCCGCGCCAAGCGGAGGATGGATTGTGTCACTACGTGCATCACTCAACCCTCTTTTTTTTTTTTGCCTGGTTCGAAGCGGGACCCCACTCCCGCTGCGACCGTGACTGCCGTACCCCTTCCCACTTTTTCTTTTCTCGCGCTTCGACCTTTGATTTCGGCACGCCGTTCATTGGAGTCGGCTGGGTGTGATGGTCGGAGGGTCGACTGTCCAAGTGCTGCGAGGCCAAGGGGATAATGGGCTCACGCACGTCGGGTACATGGTTGATAGGGGGGAGGGCAGTCGCTTCACAGGCGCATCCATCCATCCATCCATCCATCCATGCCCTTTCCCACATCGAGCCTGGTCGTGGAACCGCACGGCAGTAACGGCTCAGAAGACCACGGGGCGCGCACATGGACCAAAGGTTGTATGTGTGTGCAACTCCCAAAGGGCCGTTCAATCAATCCATAGTGACGGCAGGCAGGCAGCCCGGGCAGGCAAATCAACCCACCCCCCCATCCCCGAAAGCAGGTACGAGGTTACATCCGCTGCCCAGCCATTTCATACGGAAAACAGTCCGCCGTGCATAAAAAATGCGAGAAGGGAAAGGGCCCCCGGGCTGCATATCTACCACCACTCCTAGTCTCCCGTTCTGACTCTTGCTGTATCCATAGATATGCCCAGTTTTATTGCTGGTTCTAGACGGGCCCCCAGATACAAGAAAAGAAAAAGAGGGAAAATAAAAATTGGCGTCTGATTCGAGGCGGCACCAGGGCCCAGTGGGGGAAAGGCAGGGGGTTAAACAGCGTTTGCTTTTCCTTGTTTTTGTTTTTTTTTACCCGTGGATTCCCATCCCCCCTTCCCTCCTTCGGGGGTTACCCCCACGGTTCCAGACGGGCAGGCTTCTTGATATCAGCCCAGACAAGAAACGCCTCCGGAGTGGTTCCACGGATCCAACACGCCTCCTTTAAACAACTCCGGTCCACCTATCTCCCAGTCCTTGCCCCATCGTTCCAGCCTCCCACCATAATCTACCTACACCCACCTACCTGCCTACCACCCGACCGAGGCGCCAATTCTCCATACCTATCCTCATATCCATACTCTTTGCACAAATCCGTGCCAGCTCCCTCTCCGCTCGTCTTTCTTGGGACTACCTCTATTCCTCGCGCCCTGCTATATTCTCGAGATATCACATCACCGACGACACGTGCAAGCAGCCGCCCGAGACAAAAGTCCGCGATCCGATCCGAGACATAGAATCCATCACCAATCAAAGACCAGCACGGGCGCAGCAACAAACTGTCAAGCAAAGCAAAGACTCTTGTCAGTGCGTCTTGGCGCGCGCAACGAAACAGACCCGACATAACCAACAATCAAAGCCCCCGGCGCGGCCTACCCTGGACCGCCATGCGACTTTCGACTATATTATGCCTAGTAGCTGGCGACATTCTGGGCCCGACCTGTGATCAGAACGACCACCTGCCGCAACCGGCCCGACAGCTGCCCCTAAAGAGCGCACCACCACATGGCTCCCCTCGTGTATGTTTTTTTGAACGCGACCGGGGGTTGATATCATGGAGAAAAAAAAAGCCACATAACGTGCGACTGACCTGCCCTAGATCCCTCGCCCAACAACTGGCGACGCTACCGACTCAGCACCAAACTGGGCAGAGCTGCAGGTCCCCGGCCACGAGAGGATACCGTCGGCCGGCGCGGCTGATGAGCAGGTGACGACCGCCACCGATGCTTGCGGACAGAAGCCGACCTGCCACCTAAGCGGCGATGCGTCGGCGGGACACCAGGTTGCAGACATGACGACAGAAGCCAGGAGTAGCGACGGCTCCGCCGCCAGCAGGACGGGGGGCGTAGTCATAATAACCCAGTCGCATCAACCGGAAACGACGCCCCCCGACTCGACAGCCAACATCTCCAGCCCAACCTCGGGCGACCATTTTCTCCAAGTGTCGGAAATCAGCCACGAGAGGAAAACAGTCCTGTGGGCGGGGGTTGCAATGGGCGTCGTCGGTTTGATCATGTGCTCCTTTTGAGTGACCTGGGAACACGGAACGACATAATATGTAATCATAATGGTACCCCTAATGGACAGTCTGCCCTTAGGGATCCCAAACATGAATTGTAAGCGGCAGTTCGAAACAACCCATTGCTTGGGAATTGCGACTGGCTACATTGCGCATTGGCACTGATGGTTGGGAACCGCGAGGAACATGATATCTATTCGTTGGTTCTCATACTGTCGATATGGATGGTATACGCCGAGCGAGAGTGATAATGCTCTTTCAATAGGCCGGGCAACCATTCTGAGCTTGGCGGAAGGCCGTCGAGAAGAACTCCTGCATAGCGAAGTAATGGAACAGGATGCCACCCAGGACGGCAAAATGCCACAGGTTGTGGCTACCGCCAATGTAGTCGAACATGCCCGGGAACCAACGCTCGGGCACCTTGCTGGCATAGATGAAAGCACCACTCAGGTAGACGAGGAGCGACTCGGCGATGGGCGAGTAGAACTCCCAGACAAATGAGGAGCCCTTTGTTAGATAGAGCTGAAGGATGGGCAGGAACCCCGTCGCGCCCAGGCTGACGTAGAAGGCGACTCTGCACCAGGCCATGTCCGGTCCATTAAATCCGGGGTGCCACGGCAGAATGACGCCACCTATGCCGAGAATCGCCGTGGTGGACAGATAGGCCCAGCGGCTGATTGGGTCGCAGTAGAATGCCGTGTATTCGGTTGTGATGATAGACGCCGCAATGAGAAGCGAGATTCCCGTGTAGTCGACGCAGGCGAGCGATGTCATCAGGTGACGATCGGCAATCGAGTTCATGGTGTGCCAGATGGTGCTGCAGACCAGGCACTGGCAGGCCGCGAAGAAGAAAACGGCGGCGATGAAGACGTCCGTCTTTGTGCTGAGCGAGAAGTTGTCGCTGGTGGGGTAGAAGTAAAAGGCTATAGAAAGGACAAGGACCAAGCCGAGAGCGTGCGACCATATGTTGACCAGCTCGTTGGAGAGGTTGAACATGGACTTGATACAGCCCAGCTTCGTTTCGCTGAAGCGGTACCCCTTGCGGATGTGGGGGTTGATCCGCCAGGGCATCGGCAGGTCGTCGTAGCGAATTAGGCCGTGCTGTCTCGCCCGCGCGACGGCACGTTGGATGTGATCCTCGAGCGACTCGGCCGCCCACTTTGCCGTGGCGAAACCCTCGTCCACAACCTCGCGGGCGCGTTCGAAGCCCTCGTCCACCACCCGACGACCCTCGCTCATGAAGACCCCCGCGGCGTCAGCGGCGTTGGCCAGGCTCTGTTCTCTGAACTTGTACGCATGGTCCTCGAAGTCAGAGAGCATAGTGTCGAGCAACTCGATGCTCACCCGGGCCTTCTCGTTGAGCGACTCGGCTGCGGCGAGACCGTCCTGGTAACGATGCTCTAGTGTCTCAACCATGACCTGGACGCGCCGACGGCCGGCGTCGATAACCTCCCCTGAAACCTGAGAACATCGGGTCCGCACGGCCTGCAGGGTATTGTACGCCCTCGAGATGCTCGCGTCCAGGCTGACATCGCCATAACTCTCCAGGAAGTCGAGACGCCGCTCGAGTTCGGAGAGAAAGAGATCAACCTGGAGATAATATGGTGGGATATCAGTATATAGTAGATCTGAGGGGTTACTCGTTGGGCTAACATCGAGTGCCGCGAGGGCAAAAAGAGGGTGGGTGTGTCCGAGAGAGGGAAAAAGGGGGCGAGGATCTTTGGGTGGACAGACCTTCAAGAGTAACTGCTCCTCGCCGTCTATGATGTGGTTTACAATCGACTTGCGCCGGTGGGGGAGAAACGATGAGTGTCGCCGTTTCCTTCTAGCCGGTTGCTGTTGGTTGGCGGGCTGGCTTCCAGAAGCCTGCGCAGTGCCATCATGGTCGGTAGAAGGAGAGCCGTGGTGGTTCAAGGGCGAAGCGCACGGCACATTTGGCGTAGCGAGATCCATGGTGACTTTGCCGGACTGCCAAGAAGGGCAGCGGGCTGGAAGTCAGATGCTGCTGCGGGCGACTCTTGAGTTTTGCGACTATGTTGGGTGGTGCTGAGGCAATCGATGGCTTCGCTCACAAGGGCGGGCGAAAGGAGGTGGCCACAGACAGCGGACTTGGGCGGCACGGGCAAAAATAATTGGCGCCAGAGCGGGCGGGAACAGACGCTCGCAGCAGCCTCGGCATGAGGGAGGGGAGGGGGGGGGGGGGGGGGCAAGCCCACTGGAGCGCGGAGGTGGGCCGCAGATGCTCAACAAATTGACCGCCTGCTGCTGACGCAAACTGGATTGGCCGCTGGACAGGCGGATAAAATCTTGCTGTGGATCGGAGATGGCGGCGGGCGCTTTGGGCTCCAAGCTGCTGGGGTTTCCAGGGGTGCAGCGCGTCAATGTTTGGGCCCAGACGGGAAGCTCGTCAATGCGGCCTTGCTAGTCGAGAGTCAGTGCATATGCGAGGGCTCTGCGCTGCTGGAGATGCAATATTTATGTTTGCCCAAATTCCGCCGATCAAGCCACGAGTGGCAAATAGACCAAAAGACTCAAAGTAGCAGGTCAATAGTGGATGGGAGAATATGTAAACATTGGGCTAATAAAAGCCAAATGGTAATAACACAGTTAGCCGGGACATTGATCTCGCTCCTCAGCCGAGGCCGACGTGCCGGCTTTACAAGGCGTTTGTCCTGCCATAACTTTGATGCTGTATGGAAGAGGCTTGACAGATACTGGGACTGACACGGGTCAGATCGAAATCCACGCAGTTTACAGCTTCAACGTCCCCTCACAAAAGCCCAGAGGTACATGCAGTCCATGCAGCTCTCCCCAACTAATATTCATCGGCTACCAATGAAAGAGAAATGGTATAGTAATTACCTACCTATTCAAACGGTAGATCAAAAAGAAGGGGTCATCCAGGACATTTGTTTGGGTCACAGGTTCGGTCGAGCGTCATCAGGCCACATGGGTCTGTCTGGCCGTTGTGCTTCCAAGAATCGCACTTGTAAGTGTGCATTGGCTCACTGAAACCTGTCGTAAGCATGAGGTGTTTGGGAAAACGGGATCCTGCTTGCCCACAGATCCAAACCCAACCGTGCTTCCTCGGTTATTGCCATCGTTAGCATGAGCATGTTTCCATATCGACAGAGCTAGTGAGCCAGGAGCATCCAATCCCGTTGACAGACCGATAGCCCGGGTTGGGCCAGTGCTTAGATCTGGCGCGAGATATTGTTTGGTCTCAAAGCTGATTGGATGCTCAGCAGTCATTGGTACTGTGAACTGAAGCACGGGCTTTTCCCAGGCGGGGGCACCACTGGCGGTTGGGATGGCAGAAGATCCCGACCGTGCGCCGATTGATTCGCCCACACATCGCTGCAAACAGAGCTGGGGGAGCTGATCAGCCTTGAACAGCTCAGGAACCGGCCAGGCCCTATTCAGCCTCTCCATTCTCTGCCTACTTATCCTCCCGTCGAACAAAAGACGAAAATTCGCCAACATGGGCACGGACGAGCTTGTCACCGACCCGAGCTTGCGCAGTCTCCTCGAGCAGTCGCAGAATGCCCGAGAACAGGCGCTGGCGTTTGTCGACCTGATAGCGCAGCAACAACAGGCCGGCTCCGAGCCCGCGGCAGTCGCCGAGATGGCAAAGTTGCAGAAGCAGCTAATTATGAATCTTGCGAACCTCCGCCGTCAGCACCGGGCTGCCATCTTTTCCGCGCGCACCACGAAGGCCGAGACGCTGAAGGCGCGCCAGGAGGTCGACACGCTCCACCTGCAGCTGCAGAATCTCTACTACGAGCAGCGTCATCTCGAGGGCGAAATCGCGTCTTGCGAGGACTACGAGTGCGTATACGCGCCAGCAATTGCCCGCCCATGTGCCCAGTCTCCGAGTTCCGGGCAAGAGTATCGCGGTCAATACAGCAGCTAACGGTCCCTACTGTAACGGTCCCTTAGTCACAAATACCGCCAACTGCCACTCATACCAGTCGAAGAGTTTCTCGCGCTGCATCCTGAACATGCGGATGCCGACGAGAATGACCTGATGGTCGCGCGAATCGAACACGAACGCAGCGAGAGGGAGAACCTGGAGAAGCAGCGACAAGATCTCCTGAAGCGCAAAGCCAAGCTGATCGCAGAGAACAAGAAGAGGAAAGATGACCTCGCAAATCTGGATAAAGACCTGGAGAAGTTCATCGATGTAAGATGCCCGGTATTTTCTGATCGTCACCATGTCATGGTGCGTCCTGGGACCAAGTTGGGCCAGTCAACTAACGCCCTTTTCACAGGCTGCAAAACCGATCGAGAAGACGTTCGAAAACGTTGTATGATCACCATGCCGACGAACCATATTCGGGACATGGTTTGTGGGCGGCGACCCTGGACGGCTGACTAGGAATGTTATGCAAGCTCCGCGTCTAACAGGGCCCATGGGGACGCACGATAATGGCGACATGATACCCAAGCTGAAGAGGGGCGGGCCAAGAGTCGAAAGGCGAGCATCGGGAGGAAAACACCAAGCTCGCCATCGCCGTCGCGAGACATGGCGACGGGAAGCAGGGCAATGCCGATACCCTGGCGAAGTACGCCAGGCTCAAAAAAAGAAAAATGCGTGACGGACCGGAAGTCACGAGCGTTGACCGGGAAGCGGGTCCGCATGGGTGGATTTGGGTTGCGGTCGGACTGGCGATACTCGGCGGTGAGGTAGTAGCTGAGTACTACCGGCGCGGCAACCTATCGTCGCTAAGCTCACCGCTCATGGAGCGCAGGCTGGGCGAAGGGCATGCCGCGTAGAGACGCATCTATGATACGATGGGTTAGGCGCCGTGGCCGTCCACACACACTACGACCCTCCAGACAACAAGAAACATACCTACCTAGGTAGTGTTGTAGATGCACGTCTAGCCACCACACGCAGGCTTCAAAACGGTCGATACGGTGGTGCATGGTGCATGGCAGAAGTGGGTTCCTACGGACAACCTGGTGGGTGTACTTTTGCCAACCCAATGAATCACCGCCATCTTGCCGCACACCAAGCCGGCTGCGAGGGCGGGTGACATGGCACGCATCTTTAACGAGGAACTAGTGCCGCAGCATGATGCAAAATACCACTTGCATGCTCCGCTTTTGCTAGACTGGATTGCAATTTTCTCTTTCTCTCGGGGGTTTTCTCTCGTCCCTTCGACGGCTCGCATTATTGTCTCTCTCCTGTCGCACAAACCTCGTCGCCCCCTCCCTCATGTGCCTCAAGAGCGGAAGCGAGTGGGGGTTTGCTGCATTCCGATCAGCTCACTCGGGCGTGTCGTCCCAGGCTATCCCGTCCAACGGCGTGTCACGCGCATGTGCTGCCCTGCCCTTGCAAAGCGATCTCCGAGCATCCGAGGATTTCCATTCGATTTGCGTTTGACGGCTACTGGCCTGGGGCTGCATCGGGTCGGAGCTTGGCTGGTAATGGATGCAGCTACCGCGTGCGGGATCTGGTTGCGATAAGATAAAAACCTGGAGCCTGCGATGGACCCGTGGGGCTCGCCGGCCATAGAACCCCCGAACGTCCGTCGAGTTCCCGGCTCCACCGGACCGCCCGCTAATGGGAGCTTCGCAATCTGCCAGCCACCCGAAATCACCCACGCCCACACCACCCACCACACTGCACACACATCACTTGCATGCACAGCACACCACACAGTCCTGCACAAGGCGGCCACCATCACAATGCACGGCTTCGTGCTGATGACCTCATTGACCGGCTGCCTAGCGGCTAGCTTTGGAAACAAAAACCTAATTCGTCAAGGAGAACGACCGGTAGGAACTTCGCGTTTATAAAGCTTCGATTCGTACACGGTACTTTGATGGTCGAAGTGGCGTCTGTGGTATCACAGAGCCGCCATCGCTGGCCGACAAATTTGTGCGCTTCGGCGCGTCGCAACCAGTCTCTTCGTTGCGACGGGCCTCGGCCTGTTGCGCTTTTTTTTTTTGGCATGCCGGCCCCAGGTTCGGCCGACGGGTTCGACTTCAGACCCGCTAGTCTGGGCCCCAGGCTAGACCCAAGCTAAGGCAAGCACCAAGCTTGGGGTCGTCGATCCGGTCTGGCTTTCTCGACTCTCACGGGCCTTTGGAGGCGCCGCTCGACAGCCACACTTCTGGGGGAGGGGGAGATTTCGCGTTTTCGGCGCGTGGAACAAATGCGAGATCCCAGCACGCATTCAACGAGTAAGAGGGCCATGCAAGGAACCTGTATCCCCTGACTGGCTCCCTCTGTGTCACCTCTCGATCAAAACGGTGGAAGCCCCGGTGACGACTGGGGTTTTCTTTTTCTTTTTGTCTTTCCCTTGCACTCTTTCTCGTTTAATTGCGGACCCGTCAGCAAGGCGATCGTAAGGGTGCGTCACAGGTACGGGCGGTTCCCAAAAGAGCGCTGGTCTGACAAGTGGGCTCCCTGGTACCCAGTACCAGCGCCAGCTCCCAACGAGAAATTGAGGTTGCCGTTCCAGCCAATGGGCATTGTCGGGCCCTCGTAGAAATGAGGCCAAGATATCATGCTAGGCCCAACAGATGCTAGGGCAGGACGGTAGGCATGTTATCAATCTCGCATTTCGCGGTGATAATATGAAAGTCAGCAGGAAAACTGGAACGACACAAACTTGGGGTCCGGCACACGACGCAATCTTTGCCCTTCAAGACAGCGACGGGCATGTACAATGACGGGAACTGCCCGCAATCCGCCAAACACTCCATGGAGCTGGCCGGCTCGAAGCAGCGGTGTCCACTCTCGCTGGCTAGCGCCGCTGAGCTAAAATATCTGCCGGCAGGAGAAAAAACATCAAGAAAACACAGCAGAAAAGGCGGCGGGGAGGATCGCATTCAACGGGGCTGGGAAGCCAAAAAGACAACACATATGCAGACTATAATAGTCCAGCCGAAGACGCTCACCGCATTGACATTGATCTTGGGCTTGACATTCGAGAACGACCTTGCTATGCAAACGGATATCCAGTTTCGGCACAAGCTCAAGCAGAAGGCGTGTGAGGCGGCGCACAGTGCACAGCCGTTTCCTGCATTTGGCTGGTAGGCATGAGAAGTTGGGCCGCACCGTTCAAAGGCAGGTGGAGGGGCCCCCTAGCTGGGCAAACTCACCGTTTTTCAATCACAATTTCCCTGGCACCCACTCAGACTGGGTATCCAAGAGCAATAGTGGAGGAATCCAGCGTAAGGAAAGAGAGGAACGATTCCCAAACAAGGGGAAAATTGAGTTCAATGAACATCGAGATTTAACACGGACACGCTACCACTGGCCCTTCTCGGAGCGTCCCGGTCGCCCAGGTTTCCGAGCCCGTGCTGGTGCTGTGCATTGCATCAGACTGGCACCCCCGAAATTCGCAACTGCCCAGTCGCGGTGGCAGACTCGCGCAAAAAATCCTTCGTACAATGCGTAACCGCGATGCACGTCGATGCACGTCGATGCTGACGGCAGGGACGACGTCGCGTTTGCTGTGCTCAGCCACACTTGGCCTGCGCAAATAGCAGTCGCCCTGCATGCCCCAACTCAGCTGCGCATCCATATTTGATCGCTTGCGCCCACCACTCAGCCCGCATCTCTGTGAGACTGCACCATGCCACCATGCTGCCCCTCCAGGCATCCAACCCAGCCAGCCCTCAGGCACAGCAGGCCAGGCGGTGCCAGGGGTTGTGCTGGGAGGACGCTAGACCTGCGAGTGGCTCAGGCAAGGCTGGTCGCTAAAATTGCACCATGACTGGGCTACTCCTCCGTTTCGTAGCCAAGGGAAGAAACGGAGGGTGCGTGTTGGGGCGCCGAGGGAAATAACGCATGTGGGGTACGGGTGGTTCCCTGGCACCAGCAGGAAATGGCAACGCAAGGCACCAACCGACCCGAAAAAAACGAACCCGCACGGCACGACTTTTGTGCCACGCACATACACCGTACGGTTGGATTGGCCTCATTGTTTCAAGGCCGATGCTGGCGGGGGGCTGCAGTTCATCGGCCGGGGCCATGCCTGTTGGCGTTGTTTCTCATTTCTGTCCTCTTCTTTTCTCGTCTATCCTTCCTTGGGCAGCGGGATGGTCGCTCGCGGTGAACGTCGCTCCCCGGCTAGAGGGTTTGAAACATGTCGACCCTCGCAAGATCGGGTCATGAAGCTAAATAAAGTGCGAGCATGCAGACAGTTCATCTGCCATCTGGTCTCTTGGGGTTTGTCGGCGCTCAGGCGCTGGTAACAGATGTGCTGCAGTGCCACATCACGTTTGGTTGCATCTCATACCGTACTTGGCGAAATGGCCGTCCACGTGCGCGGACACCGCGGGAAACTATCGGCACCATAGCGCGGGGAGCCTGACTTTTGACGGCGGACGGTGGATCGCATCGTCTGCGAGTACGTCTTGTATGTCCGCCCGTCGTGCTCGATTCGCTCGCCCACCTGCCAGACCATGCTCTCGGTAGACGCAGGACATTATACATGACGAGCCTCTGGTGACATATATAGTTGAGGGTAGATTGTGCTGCAGGCTGGGATCGGGGGCCACTGGGGCGGACAAGCTAGCAGCCGTCTGACGGGACGGGTACAACCTGGCATAGACGACGACTCCAGCTCGGCATATTCGAATTTCCCGGGTACGACCAAGTAGCAGCACCAAAGCTCGGGATGGCCAAATGCCCCGGCTCCGAATCACTCCACCCTTCAGATTTACCCACCTCTGTCGACATCGATTCGGCCAAGTGATGAGTGGTAGGTAGAGAGACGGATGGGCTCTGTAGTGTTTTCTTTGCGTCTCCATCGACGACGAGCCCACCGCCATTTCCGGGCGCCCCGATAAAAAAAAAAAAAACCTCGGGCCGGATTTCTCGGATGGTTGAGAGGATATAACAGCAATAGGCGTGAGAGCGGCTCCCAACTTCGCCATTGCTTGCTGACTGAGACGGGCGAATCGCGAGGGCTTTGTAATCCTGTCATTCTAGCGCGGGGAGCGGACACAGTATGGAAAAGCGTGGACATGCGGCGCAAAGATACGGTGGGCGGGCAGGCGGATCAAATGGCATAACGGTGGAGATCGCCCTGGAAACTGTAGACCCCTGCACAATCTCACCGTCCGCAGGCATTCCGGTTTGCGGCTTTGCTCGATGCAAAGCAGCTTCTCCACCCTGGCACAGTCAGGACCCAGAGCTCCAGCCTCAAAGCTGGCCGTCGATGAGCCTGATTGGCTGGCTGCCTCGAAACGTGCCAGACGAATTGGGCCTCTCGCGCACCCCCTTTTGTCTTTTGTACCAAGAACACCCCCGGCCCGCCCTCGAGAAGCACGTCCCTCGTCCGCTTGACTACCTGCACTTGTTCCCATCGCCTGTCCCTCCACCCATTGATTGCCTTGTGAATATCGCCCGACGCTAAAATTTCTCTCTGCTCAGTCTCCTTTTCTCTTCCTTCCACTCTTGTCAGTCTCTCCTTCCATCTCGATCCCACCCATAATCCCTCTTAATACCCCCCTCTCGCGCAGAACGACCGCCCACGGGTCTTTCCTCGACTCGTCCGCGCCTCTGCTTCTTTCCATCCATTTTCCTGGGCGTCCCATTTCTCGCGTCCGGAGCCCGCTTGGTGTTTGCTCGCGCTCGCCCTGCGATCCCGCGCCCGCTCCCCCCCGTCCAGCCACCTCGCCCACCACGGCCTGCGGGACCTCAACCACCGAGATCGCCTACTGAGAAGCGCCCGCTTCTCCCGCCGGTATCCTCATTCGCCATAGGCCCGTCTCCGCTTGCCGCACGACATACTCATCGCCGTCGCCCGGGTCAACTCAATCAACATCCACATTAAGCCGCAGTCGCCGCGATGGCGCTGTTCGCCTGGGCATCCCGGCGCGCTGGCGGCCTGCTGCTGATAGGCCTCATCCTCCTGAGCTACTACGTCGTCTCGCATGAGGCCGTCCGGGCACAGCATGCATACAAGTATCAGCAGCAGGACAACGTTAAAGCCGAACCGCTTCTCACCGAGGGCGCCGGCATCTGGACCTCCATCTGGGCTTACTACTGCCTCCTCATCCACGTTCTCGTTTTCAGCTTCTCGAGCCGCATCAATTGGTCGCTTTGGGACATCACCAGGGGCGTTCGCAAGGTCTCGCACAACAAGGCGCTGAAGGACTTCAAGTTCGCACACCGTCGCCGTGGCTCCGCCACTTCGCTTTCCAGCTCCGAGACTCTCACGTCCTCCCGGGCCTCGTCGACCTCGTGCAGCGAAGCTGGCGATCTCGACATCGAGTTTTGCACTGACGGCGACGTTGCTCCCGACCACGTCATCCACGCCATCATCATCCCCAACTACAAGGAGGAGGTCGATACTCTGAGGGAAACTCTGGAGGTTCTGGCCAGTCATCCGCAGGCCCGTAACTGCTACGATGTGAGTGATGAACTCGCTCTCTGGTGGCATGCGGCCTCTGGGAGGCGGTCTCTCATTCCGTCTGGAATCCCGCGCTCGGTCCACCACGGCGGTCTAGATGTCTTAGTAGTGGGCCCGTGCTGATTTGTTTTTGTTTAGGTTTACCTCGCTATGGAGCAGCGCGAGGCCAATGTCGAGCTGAAGGCCATGGGCTTGGTGCAGGAGTTCGTCAAGAAGTTCCGTTCCATTGACTTCACCATTCACCCCTCGGACATTCCCGGCGAGGCTGCCGGCAAGGGCAGCAACGTCGACTGGGCGGCCCGCAAACTCAGCGAGAGATACCCCCTGTCTGCTCGCAAAGATGTCCTGGTCACTGGTATTGATGGTAAGATTATGCTGGGTGATGTGGCAGTCGCATGCACTGTAGGTACTATGGAATGTTGGCTAACGTGTGCCTTTTCATCCAACAGCCGATAGCCACCTCTCCTCCAACTACTTCGCTTTGGCCACCAGCATGCATATTTCCAACCCCGAAACCGCCACAACAACCATGTACACCGCTCCCATCATCTTCGATCGCAATGCTCACAACGTTCCCGCCCTCGTCCGCGTTGCCGACATACTCTGGGCTGCGGGTGGTATTTCTGGCCTGTACACTGGCTCCACCATCGCCCCTCCGACTTCTGTTTACACCTGCAACATGGAATTGGTCGATCGCGTTGGCGGTTGGGACGTCGACAATGAGGCTATCGGCGAGGATCTCCACATGTACCTGAAGTGCTTTTTTGCTCTCAACGGGCACGTCACCACCAAGGTCATCATGGCTCCTGTCAGCCAAACCAACGTCACCGGAGGCGGTCATGGCCAAGGACTTTCCGGACTCTACAAGGACATCCGCGCTCGCTACAAGCAGGCTGAGCGGCACATGTGGGGTGCGCTTGACACCGGCTACGGTCTCAGGAAATGTGTTGAGCTTTTCAAGGAGAGGAAATACCTGGCGCGCGCCTTCAAGCCTCTGCACACTTCTCTGTAAGTCATGGATGGATCCCGGTCGAGTTGATGCATTGGCTCGCACTTTACTAATACTTGGCACCTCACCCCAGGGATACCGCCGATTCGTACGTTCCCCAGGAGGTCGACAAGCTTGACCCTGAGCAGCCTCTTGAAGCTGGCATCTTTTCCGATGTGACCCACGACACACTTGAGAAGCCCGACTGGGAGCGCACCTTCTATCTCCTCCACCGCCTCTTCGAGGCACACTGCCTCCCCGTTCACGCTACGATCCTCATTGTTTCCTCGACCCTCTTCCTCTGGCTCACCGAAGGCGCTGCCGACATTCACGGTATTGCTTGGATCTTCCCTGTCTGCAACTGGCTCCGCACCGCCGGATTTATGCAGGTTGCTCTCTATCTCTTCCTTTACGAGAGCTTCCACAGGACCTGCGTCGAGACCCGTGAGAAGGAGATGTCCGATGCCGGTCTTGCCAAGGGCATGAACTTCTCCAAGAGGGAGGTCAAGAGGAATTACATCGACTACTTCTTGGTGCCATTGGTGGCACCAATTTTCGGGTCGATCCCATGCATGTGGGCACAAATTTGCCATTTCTGGACCCTGGACTTAGTATACACCGTTAGCATGAAGGCGACAAGGCAACGAGCCAAGTCCATTGCCTTGGCCGCGAAGGTGTAAACAGGTCACCTTCGCGCGATTCTCTTTGTCTCTTCAGGTTTTCATTCGCTTGCACACTTTTTTTCTACTTCTCTATTGAACACCTTTTTCTCTAAGCCGGGAGCAACCGTTGGATCGGTCACCCCTTTTGCCTTTTTAAATCTTCTTTTTCCCACTTCGCTACTTTTGTGAAGACTCGATTTGAAGACCTTACAAGACGGCCTTTATTGATACCTGTTGTTTCACTACGAACCATTTCTTGAAGAGAGGGGAATCGCGAGGCTAAGTGTGTAAATAGAGGATATGATGTTGATATGCATGGCATGGCATCGGCATTTGGCATCTAGAACTGGGGGGATTCTGGCCTTGTTTTGCTTGCTTTGGGCTCAAGGAGTTCTCGGAACAATTACGCGGGCGGGCTACAGATGATATCCTCTCGCATCATTCGCTTACAGTTTATGGGGTTGGCGGCACCAACCTCTGGCACGGGGAGAACGGGGGACACGCACACGGACACGAGGATGACCTTCCGCAATGGCCGAGCCGCGGCCGAGGCGGCGGAAGACAGACGGGAGCGGGCGACCTATGTGTCTGGCGGGGGGCAAGGACTGGCCCTACTAGGCAGGCCAACGTGTCAAGGCCGCCAACCGCAAGCGACCGTCGCAGCGGTTGGGAGGCGCGACGCTCTCGTGTGCAGGGATGGCGCCCTGCTAATTACCAGCCCACTAATATCTAATCAATGTATCTACATGAGATGGCTAGTGGAAAGAGATGGGATCATGACGACGAGCCGAGATGGTGTGGAGGGCACGCAGAGACAAGAATTGCGTCTAGCGGCGGGCTGCACTGCACTTCTGTGTCGCGGACGATGACGCCCAGGGAGGGAAGGACGACTTTTTTGTGGCCGATGGGGTTGACAAGATGAGAGGATGGAGAGCATCGGGGGGACATTTGGAAAGACGGACGGAGGTGGTAAGCTGCTAGTCACTCGCTTGACCAATTCAGAGCCCGACTTGTCCCCGATTGAGCATGACATCACAGCCCTTGGATATGCACATGTTGATTCGTAGTTTGACTGGAGCCATCGTCTTGTATTCCTCGGGGGACGCGCGTCGACGGGTTCACCTTTATCATTCGCATAGCATCAGGGACATTTGTACATATGAGATAGGCTAGCAATTTGTGGTGTATTTTCTCGTGGGCAGTTGATGTATACGCCTGGTCTGGCTGTGTAGGTCGGTCGTCCCTACATTGTCAGGCTCAGCAGCCCCGAGGGGCGTCGGAGCTTAGCATTCAGGGTCAGCGCTAGGCAAAGAACTCACAAGCGATACTTCACCAACCAACCACAGAAATTGGTATCTTGGACCCAGGAGAGTCACACGGCGCCTTCTCACTCCGCGCTGAATCGGCACATATCGACGCCGTGGATAACTGTCTGTTCTCGAAGCCGCCGAGGTCCTTGAGAGAAGATGGATGTTTATATAAACTGCGGTCAATCGTCCAAAGGAAATGTGCTGGTAGAAGTCCCATAGTCCGAACATACGATACACGCTCGACTTTGTGAACCAACCTCCTGGGAAAGTCTCCTGAGGTCGGTCGACAGCATCATATCCTGCCTCCCAACATCAAAAGCTTCTAGTTGTCACACCCCAAAACCGCCAGCCGCCATGGGCAACCCCCGACCGACGGTCCGCGTGGGCGTCTTCATCCCCAAGGAGGCGCAGCTCCTCGACGCGGCCTGCGTCGACATCCTCGCTACGGCGGGGCACGACTACCTCTCCCTGTGCAAGGGCCTCGTGCCGCCGCACATCATCGACCTGGCCCCGACGGTCGAGGTCCTGTACGTGTCGCAGCTGCCCGCGGGCGCCGCCGTGCCGCTGACGGCCGGCGCGCGCCTCCTCGTCGACCGCCACCTCTCGAGCCCGGACGTGGCCCCCGGCACCCTCGACGTCGTCCTGGTGCCCGGCCCGGACCCGGCCGCGGCGCACGACGCCGTCGCGCTCGAGTGGCTGGCCGCCCACCACGCCGCGGCGGAAACTGGTGGCGGCCGCGGGACGGACGTGTTGTGCGTCTGCACCGGCATCTTTCTGTGCGGCGAGGCGGGCATCCTCAAGGGCCGCAGGGCGTGCGGGCCCCGCGGCATGCAGGACCTGCTGGCCAAGAGGTTTGAGGGCGTCACTTGGGTGGGAGAGGAGCTGCGGTGGGTTCGGGATGGGAATCTCTGGAGCAGTGGTATGTTTTTTTTCTCTTGCCATATACCGTCTGTCCTGCATATTCACCCTTATCGCCATCCACTTGTATAAGCCCAAATTACTGACGAGGCGACAAAAAAAGGCGGCATAACCAATGGCAATGATCTCGTTTCTGCCTACATCCGACAAAGCCCTCTCTTCCCAGGCCCCGTGGTCGAGATGGCCCTCATCATGGCCGATACCGGTGATCGACCACAAAAGTACGGCCAGAGCAAGCCCGTGTTCGTCATGTCAGTCCTCTGGACCCTCTTCCGGGGACTGGTCATGAGCATCAGGCGGCCAAAGTATACATAATGTGCTCATACAGGCCACAGGCATCCGTGGCCAAGGCGCGCATGATGGGCAGTCGTTTTGTTCCTCTTTGGGGTAGAATATCTGTACATATTGCCGGTTGAGAGTCTAGTTGTGGGATAATTTGACCTCATCCCGGTCTGGACTGCACCCTAATCGCCCTTGCCTGTTGTCGAGTATCATGTCGAACTGAATGAATAGAAGAAAGTCGACCTTGGATCTAGCAATTACTCTGCGAGCTGTCACCTCAGACTAGCTCGGCAAATACACACGAGGAATACATACTGTCACCGGCCAAGAACCCGTGGCAGATAGCGACGGCATCAGTACCCCTGGGCAGGGGGAGGCAGCCCGGCCCAGCCATTCTCGGCCAGGCCACCGCTACTCCCACCCGACTGCCCATCAACCCCCACAGCGCGACTCTGCCGCATCCCACGGACTTCATCCCCATACTCTACCACATCGCCACCCTCATCGTCACTCTCGACAAGCGGCCACGGCGAGATCTCCTCGAGGCTGAGGTCCGTCAGCCCGCCCGGTCCTCCTCCGCAGATTGCTCTCCTCCTGCCGCCGCCGCCGGCGGAGCCGTCGTACCTCCTCTCGGTCGTCTGGGTGTCGGGGATGCCGAGGCCAAAGGGGGCGAAGAGCGTGAGGGCGGCCATGAGGGCCATGATCCCCGAGAACACGGCTAGCATGATCCACAGCCCGCGCCCGCGCTCGTCATCGACGTGCCTCATCGACCTGGAGATGACCCGGGCAAGGATGGCGCCCACCTTCCCGCCCGCCGCCGCGACGCCGTAGCAGGTGCCCCGGAACTCGGTCGGGAAGACCTCGGCCGCGAGGACGAAAGTCAACGTGTTCGGCCCGAGGTTGAATAGGAACTGCGTCAGCGCGTACAGCACGACGCTGGCGTAGTGGCCGTCGCCCTCCCGGCCGTACGTCTGCGAGACAGTGATGGAGGCGGCCGCGAACAGGAGCGCCAGGGCGCCGCTCGTCCAGATGTAGAGCGTCCGGCGCTTGAACAGGCCCATGAGCGGTATGACGGCCAGGCTGCCGGTGATGGCGGCGGCGGACGTCATGTACAGCGTCCGCCCCGTGTTGAGTTGGAGTACCTCGTAGATATCCGCACCTGGTCTGCTCAGGTCCTCGTTCCAGGTTGGTAGGTCTCCTGGCTTCACCGTTGGTGTGCTGTTCATCAACAAGCCGGCGAGGGTACGGGGGCTATCCAGCCCCGTGCCGTAAAACTATGGGAATGGATATTGGAGTCAGCTCAAGCAAGCCCGGATATTTAGAAGGAAAAATTGGTGTTCTTTCGGGATTCTTTGGAATATTAAAGGATAGCCAGAGCTTTTCGAAGAAAGAAAAACAAAGCCGCTTACTGCTATGTCTAAAAGCAGCCACTGCGGTGTTAGGGGGGTGAGGCGCTTCCACCCCTGGCTCTTGCCAAAGAGATAGGTCCAAAAGGCGGAAGACCATGACGGCCTACCACCACCGCCTTCCTCGGCATCCGGCTCGTCCGAGTCGTCGGACGCGGCGTCCTGGGGCCGCGGCGAGGTGGAGCCGATCTTGATAACGGCGCCGAGGGCCTTGTTGAGGTCGCGCTTGATAGCCGAGTAGAAGCGCGGGGTCTCGGGGATGAAGATGCGGAGGCCGATGGCGAAGACGGCGGGCACGCCGGCGAGGCCGAGGACCATGCGCCAGATGCTGTCAACGGCGAGCTTTACCGAGGCATCGCCCCCATTGGCCATGGCCGGCGCCTGCAGGCTGTACGCATGGATGATGGCCCGGCCCAGGCCATAGGCGCAGACCCGGCCGATGCCTTGGGCCAGGAAGATGGCGGCGAGCATGGTGCCGCGCCAGGCCGTGGCCGTGAATTCCGAGGCGATAACTGCGCTCATTGGGTACTTGAGAGGGCAAATAAGCCGTCATGTCAGAAAAAAAAGGGGCCGCCTGTGTGGGGATTTGGGAAGGTAAATCACCTCTGCTCCTATGCCCAGCCCAAGAGTCGCCCTCCACCAAATAAGCGAGGCGTAGATATCCATGGAGGAGCTGCCGCTTATGGGGTCGACGTACCCCCGGCTCGAAAACGCGGCGCCGCCGATGGCCGCCAGCACGATGAGTAGCTCGAAGCCATACAGCGCGCTCCTGCCGAGCCTGTCGGCGACGTGCCCGAACCCGATCATGCCGACGACGGTGCCGCCGAGGGTCACCATGTCGAGCACCAGGTCGGCATCCTTCGGGAGCGCGCCGCCATCGCTATCCCTGCTCTCGGGCCCGTAAAGGTAGAACAGAGCCGGCGTGGTGATGTTGATGGCGATCAGGCTCCAGCTCGAGGCCAGGAAGCCCATAAAGGCGACGAGGTAGACTCGCCAGCTGAAGCCGATGCCGTCGAGGATGTTGAGAATCTGCCTCTCTCGGCGCCGTCGGTGCTGTGTCACAGCCCGGAAGTATCTAATCAGCTACTGCTTCTAGAAAGCTGCCATGGTGGCTTTTCAAGGTAACATACCCGCACATGCCTGATGTCTCCCTCGAGCTTCAGTGGCTCCCACCACTTGAAGACCTGCGAAACAGCTCTGGAGATCATTCTGCGGCTCTATCGATCAAGAGGAGCGTGATTTGTCGTCAAGAGCGAGTGTCTCGTAAGCGAGTGGGCGATCAGCGACAAGTAGTTTGGCTCATCTATTTGCCTCTCCCTCTGTCTCTCCTCTGGAGCAGCATAGCCCAGATCACGGAGACAGAGAGGATGAAGGGAGGACAAGAGGATGCGGCTATGTAAACAGCCCACACAATACAGATACGAACGAGGCTCAGCTCGTCGAATCCGGCCTGTTGCCGATAATTAATCATCACATGCAGGGACTTTCTGCTAAACTGGTTGCCCACACACCCTTCTCGGTCCAGACCGGAAGGGCTGGGCGTGGCTGCGCCCAAGCGACTCATCCGGGATGGAAGGGCAGACTCCCCTATTTCCTGTTGTGTAGCCATGTGAACGCAGCCCAGCCGTCCCGCCTCAGTCACGCCGCCCTCGAGGAGCCAGCTCCCTCGACCGAAATTCTGCTTGGAAACTCCTTCTTTTCCACTTCTGATCAGGGTCTCTTGGCCAGAGAAGAGGAGAGAGGATGTCTTTTTTGAATCTCTTGTCGATAGGGCTGGGGTCTGGGATCCGGGGTCCCGGGAGGGCTGGCCAGCAATAATTTCTTTTTTTTCTCCCCCAGGATTCGACGACCCATGCACGGCGTTTGCTGAGACGGTAATCGGCAACTCACTCGATTGGTCGCCTGGACAGATGTTGAACAGTTCATCGTCGTGGAGTTCGGGCGCTGCCCGCATGTTGTGGAGGAGTTGAAAAAAGGGGCCAACCAGAGGCCGCGGATGAAGCACGGGGTGGCCAGGGGTAGCTGTGAATACACCCCCAAAATACCTAAGCCCACCCCCTCCTTCACGAGAGGAGGGAGTGCTCGGGTGACATGGTTGCCGCTATGAAATGTCATGTTACGGTTCATCCCATCGCCTGCTGCCTGCTGCAACTGACAGAACTCGTTCGCGGACCTGCATAAGAGACCAAAAAAACCAGGTTAGCAGCACAGCAAAGGGTTCTCTCGTTGCTTTTCTTAGCCTCGGCGAATCGAAGACAGTCTAGACGGATGGGTTGTCAAAACAACGTGGACTCGGTAGCAGCCGGGGCTTGTTTGTTTAAGCTCTAGTCTTGGTGGCCGTGGCGGAGCTAGGCAGCACGACTTGTCCCCCCACATACCAGGGATCCGTTTGTTTGGGCCACCATGTCGGGCGTTGTTGAGATCATCGGCGCGGTCGCCGCCGGCGTCCAGATCACGGCCCAGATCGTCCGCATCTTCCGCACGGCCCGCAACGCCCTTCGCCAGGTTGAGCGCCTCCACCGCCTCCTCGAGGAGCTCGAGGGCAACCGGGAGCTGCTGAACGCGCTCTCCACAAAGGAAGGGGAGCGGAGCGCCAGGGCGATTTATGACCTGATCAACAACTGCCGCGACCTGATCGAGGAAAAGGCGGGCGCGAAGATGGCCCCGATAGACAAGGCGAGGAATTTCTTCTGGCCTGCCGAGAACGAGGAGTACCTCCGTAAGCACATTGACGAGATACGGCAGGAGATCATCAGCCTGGGCATCTGGCTCAACTTCGGATTAGGCAAGGGGGCACAAAGCCTGGTGCCCGTCGCAGATTTGATTTCTGGGCCGCCACGGGGTCTGAATGATACACTTTTCAGCGACGGCACAACCATTGTGTCCAGTCCAACTATTGGCCTTGGGGTTGTGGCCTCTCCTCAAGCCTCAGTAGCCCCGTCGAGTCCAGTCGTGTCGGGAGGACGAGCGCCTAGGAGGTCGACGACTTGTAAGTAGCCTCCACCTCTTCACATCCGAGGAGCCTTTGGTCTGGTACTAACCCAAGTTGTAGACTCGGGACCCACCGACTTGCCTACTGTCCTGTAAGTATCAGAACGCAGAGCGTGACTGTTTGTGATATAGACAACGGGGTCTAACAAGCTGGGCAGCACTCTTCAGCGCAGCGACGGGAAGCAATTCGTGGCCCCCATGGCCTTGGACCGGCTCAGCATCATGGAGCGTGACGAGTCCATCCGCACGATCGAGTACGAAGCGACAGGGGGTTCGAAAACCGGCCCGCTCCGAATCACCCACCGAATACCCCGCGGCACCATCCGGATAGAGGACAACGACCTCAACGACCTGTGTGTCTGCTTCCTCGACGCCCATGTCATCACCATCCAAAACTCCGAAGGATACCGGATCCACAGGATCCATGCCGAGTACAGCTTCCGGTCGGTCGAGTCTCGCGAGAGGTTTCTTTTAAAAGTCCGGGAGCGTGAGCTGCTGGGTCGGTTCACGGCCAAATGCATCCGCAAGGGAAACGGCCAGCAGATCCTGGCCCAGTCCAAGGTGGTTCGACTGTGGCGGAAGCTGCAGGAAGAGGGACACGCAGGAGTCAGACGGAGAATGACGCATGTGACGGTCTCGTTTCTGGGGAGAGACGAGAAGCAGTAAGCAAGCGGCACATTGGACAACTTCTTTTTGGCAACATGGCCCAGCTGACTCGGGTGGCAAACTCGGCAGGTACGAGGTGCCGCTGGCCGACTTTCACCGCCAGCCGCACCAACAAGGGAACGTAATAACGCTTATAAGCAAAGCAGACAGGGGCTCAGACGGCCTGCACCTGGAATTCTACCCGGCTCCCAGGTCTCCGGTCCCAAGCAGAGAAAGACAAAAGTCGAGCTGGAGGCCGTTCGGCAGCAGCACATCCCCGCCGAGTTCGCCCACCCTGACCACGCCTGCCCAGTCGGATGCCGACCGGTTCAAGGCGGTCTTCATGGAGAACCACCCTTCCACAGTGACCTGGACGCCGCTGCCGCCCATCAACGTCGACGAGACCGACTCGCTGAGCAAAGATGCCCACATCCAGGTCTTCAGCGCCCCAAACTGGGGGGCTCTGAGCTCGAGCGCTAGCAGCACGGCCGCCACCGCCTCCTCGGGCTCGAGCAACATCACCAGCTACACCATTGCCTCTTCGCGCCACAACAAGGATGTGGACGCTTACTCGACGTCGCCGGGCAGTCGAGGATTTCTTGCCGAGTTTGAGAACGCGCTCGAGCTGCGCCTCGGTTCAGAGAAGCAAGAGTTGAGGAGAGCCTGTGATAGTGATCGGAGATAAAACTGATTGACCTGCTTCTGTCTGGGCGGGGGGCACATCACAAAGAATATCTATGTGCCCATGCAGCTGATAAGAAGGGCAAAGGGGCACGTCGCTGGAGCAGGACGCCAGGCCCCGCCTGGTCCAGCCACATCCAGTGGAGACTCCGTGCTCCAGACCGCGGCTGCAATGATGGCGCGTGGGCAGCAGATGCTTTCATGGCCAGCACGGCCGCATACTCCTCCTTCCCGTTAGATGGCGACGACTGTAAACCCACGACTGACATCGATACGCTCACCGAAACGACGCAAAAGGAAAATGTGAGTGGAACACGATGCCGCCGATACCATTACGAAGAAGACCCCTGATGGCGAGGGATGGAGAAGCAGATGTCGATGATGGCCCCCACAATGATGGGGAGGAGGGGTTTGGAGGTAAAATCGAGTCTCATGGAAACTCGGCCTCGGACCCTTCGGACTTGAGGCTCGTGTTGCCGAAGTTTCCAAAGAGGGATGGAGCAGCACCAGCTCTGCAAGAACCTCAGAGGAGCAATGAGCACACCACAAAGCCGACCCAGACAACTTCCTAACTTTGCCCTCCAAAAGGCTTACTGTTTGGTGGGGATGATGATGATGGCGACTTGCCGTGGACGCTTCTTGGCTCGATACCCAGGGGCACAGCCATGGAAACCGTATAGAGGGGCCCAGAGAGAGGCCACGCCGGGGGATTTTGGTTACGGGGAAATCTGGGACCAAGGCAGATGGAGCCTTGGGGGTTTATGGGTTTGGCGTTACCCATTTTGTAGCCGAAGGTTGAGGATAGATCTAGATCGCCAGTCGACGAGCTGTCGAGGCACTAGTGGTTTAAGGAGTCGTCTTTAGACCTGGGCGTGTATATAATGTTAATCGACTTTAGTGGCTGAAAGGTCGACATCCTGGTATTAACTAGCCACAAACCCCGTCCGTGCCGTCCTCCAAGCAGCCTGAGCGGATCAGACGAGCGAAAAAACGACAACAGATCCACAATTACGCGAGACTGCGCAACCCCCGCACCGCACACAAATTTTCACCCACGGCAGAAAAAATCGGCTGCGGGCTGGACTCAAAAGCCCCTCCCAGAAGGCAGAGGCATCAAGGTCAGATGGCCGAGTTGGTTATGGCGTAGGATTAAGGTGTCTTCCACAGTCTTCCTATGGAGCAATCCGCGTGGGTTCGAGTCCCACTCTGATCAATTTTTTGCAACTGCTGTGGCATACTTCGTGATATTCCCTTTTGCCTCGCGTCGTCCACGTCGTTCGCCTTGTTCACATCCTGCTCTGGGTGCTTCCGCCTTTTTGTGAGGGTTCGTAACTTAAATATGAATGTCCTTCGCCATCGTACATATTACAAGCTGGGATAAGTGCCGACTGGACATGTATGTAGTTGTTCGCTTCCCTCCCTACTACATAGTGATAGACCTGAGTGGATAACCGTACGCGCGCCACGGACACGAGGGCCGCAGCACCCCTGCCTCGACCGCGTGAAGGCGGTGGACAGAGCCTCGGCCGACTTGATGGAGAACTCAAGCTGCAAAGCTGCAGTGACCTGCATTGTCTCCACTGCATAGACCCGTATTTGTTCCCGCAGGTTGCCTGGGTAGCTGGGATAAGGCGTTATCGGTGGGGTGCGACCCCGACTTTTCTTGCCTGGAGCGGAGGAAGAAAAAAAAAAAATCTCGACAGAGGCCGGAGCTAGGTTCCATGCAGCAAAATTTCCGCCGGGCAATCTTTTGAAAAAAAGTCGATCCTGTTCTCCCACTTTCAGGTCGCTCCGAACCACTCGCGCAAACTTCGTGGAGAGATTTGAATCACCCTCTCATTCATCCTTTCATCTTCTCCGCACGGCTTGTCGCAGAGCGCACGCCCATTTCCCTTTTCCCTTTTGTGATCGGCGCCACAACCGCAAATATGTCTCTTCTCCCCGCCGCTCTCTACGGCCTGAAGGTCCCGCCTGGCGAGATCGTCGTCGCTGCCGCCGGTGACTTCCCTGCGACGGTAAGTTTTCGTCCCTCTTCATGGGCCGACCGCCGATCTATTCATCCGGATGGAAACTACCAGCGCGTCTGAAGACCAAAATGCCATTCGAGACGGTACCTTGCGACTTGCATATATTTTTCAGCCACTGACCCGCTCGCGCATCAGATCCGCATCACCATGGCGGCTATCGACCCTACCGAGGAGCCTGAGGCGGACGAGGACGGCAAGGTTCCCCGCATTCCTCGTTCGACCCTCAAGATCCTCAAGGAGGCTGTTGGCGACGACTACGATGAGGACGACTCCTACCTGGAGGAGCTTCTGGCCAATGCCGACGAGGACGACTCGGACGATGATTCCGAAAAGGAGGAGGAGGCCAACGGCGGCCCCTCGGACCCCGCCAAGTCCAAGAAGGCGCGCAAGGAGGCCGCCATCAAGCAGCTGATCGCCGCCGCCCAGGCCGAGTCCGACTCTGACGAGGACATGGCCGACGGCGAGGCGAACGGCAAGTCCAAGAAGGGTAAGGAGCCTGCCACTGATGAGGATGACTCAGATGATGACGACTCGGAGCTTGGCGCCGACCTGGAGGACCACGTTCTTTGCACGCTGGATGTTGAGAGGGTAAGTGTTCCGTGACGACCTGGAGCGAGCTGTGCGCGTTGCTTGGATCTGGCGCTGACAAGCCTCTGTAGAACTTCCAACAACCCCTTGACATTGTTATTGGCGAACATGAGAAGTGCTACTTCGTCGTGAGCGGTACCCACTCAGTTCACCTGACTGGTAACTACGTCATGCCTCCGGATGACGACGAGGATGACGAGGACAGTGAGGATGATGATTATGACCTGCCGCCCGACATGGACGAGCTGCTTGGTGACGATGGGGATATCTCCAGCGACGATCTTGATGAGATCGACCAGGCCGAGCGCGTCAAGGAGATCGACACGGATGAGGAGGAGGCCCCCAAGCTCGTCAAGGTCAAGGACACCAAGAAGGGCAAGAAGCGCCCGGCCGAGGACGAGGCCGAGACCCTCGACGACCTCATTGCCAAGGATGCTGTCAAGGCCGACGCCGAGGTGAAGCTGAGCAAGAAGCAGCTGAAGAAGCTCAAGAACAACAAGGGCGAGGCTGTTGGAGCCGAGGAGAAGGCCAAGGACACCACGCCTGCCAAGGGCGACAAGAAGGTCCAGTTCGCAAAGAACCTTGAGCAGGGCCCTACCGGCTCAGCCGAGAAGGCCAAGCCCAACGGAAAGGCCACCATCGGTGTCAAGGTTGTTCAGGGCGTCACCATTGACGACCGCAAGCTTGGCCAGGGCAGGACTGCCAAGTCTGGTGACAAGGTTGGCATGAGGTACATTGGCAAGCTTCAGAACGGCAAGCAGTTTGATGGTTAGTGATGATCCAAGCCCCACCCCTCCGCCTTGTTCTGTCCGTTGACGTAGTGCTAACACCTGGTGCCATCACAGCGAACAAGAAGGGCCCGCCATTTACCTTCAAGCTGGGCAAGGGCGAGGTCATCAAGGGTTGGGATATTGGTGTTGCCGGCATGGCGGTCGGCGGAGAGCGTCGTCTGACCATCCCGGCGTCGCTTGCCTACGGCAGCTCTGATGTCCCCGGAATCCCCGGAAACAGCACGCTCATTTTCGACGTCAAGCTCGTGGAGATCAAGTAAACAGCCATGTCGTTCTCTGCCATCTTAGTTGGGCTTCCCTGGCTCACCCGATAATATCTCGCCTCCGGTCTGTTCGGACGGTTGTTCGACGCCCGAGGCAGCCTCTTCCCCTGAAACATTCTCTTGCTCGACGATGCAAGTTTCTTTTCCGACCTGCACCCGGTCTGCGAGGATCCAAGCCGAGCCCGGCCTGCGGTAGCAGATCTGTATGAGGGATGACGATTATTAACGTTGCATTTGTCTGGCGTTATAAAAGTCTTGGTGGATTTCCGAGGAACTCGTACCATTTCCTGAATTTCCTTGATTCGTTTTCTTTGCTGTTAGATAATTCCAGGGTCAATGTACGCTTTTGAGGTGGGATAGCTCCAGCATGCACTGCGGCTACTCTATGATGTGGGTGTGCATGTTAGTCGGTCTCCAGGGTAGAGAGTCCTAAAATCGACTGTTTGGGTTGATTTTATCACTCCTTACCCTTTGTGTGTCAATGACGTTTGTCGCTCCCTTGCGGATCACCTTTTGCTGATTCCCTTGTATCCAATGCTGGAAGTCACCTTGGGAAGGGTACTTACTTACCCTAGGTACCTTGGGTATCGTTACCACCAGTCAGGTTCCCTTTTGGGGTCCAGTTCGCCGGGCTGGACGAAGTGATGGGTGGCACCTGCTCTTGTGTCGGGGTGCCTTCCTATTGAGGGTGCCTTCCGCGGCTCAGAGAGACCTCCCGTCGTCATTGTTTGTGCCATGGATCCTGGAGAGATTTTCCCCCTCACCCAACGGCTTGTCAAGATCTGACTGTCACCCCCAGCCTCGGTCGTCTCATCTGTTGTGCATTCTAGCCGGCATACTTTGTAGACTCCAGTCTATCATCATTCGTTGCTCACAAGTTCGCTCTTCTGCCGCTATATAGCAGCATTACATAGACAAGACATCATATCCCAGACGCCTTTCGCGCCGGCATTTTCATGACCTGCATTTCTAACTCGTATCGAAACCCCTGCTCTTCTCACTCGAAGCCGAGCTCTAGACGATGAAGAGAGAACACAGCCATGGAAAGGGGAAGGGAGAGGCATGCGACACCCCCTTGATGGGTCGTGATGATCTCGGTGGCGAGGGCGCCATGTACCACTACCATACGCCGTCTTCAAACAATGCTGAATGCTGCTCTCCGCCCGCAAAGGTTCAGAGGACGGGGTCCAAAGTCACGTCAGCTCTGCGTGCACTGACTAACAGGAGTGAGCGTCACTCTCTACCCTTGTTTTTATGCCTCTGCGGACTCCCAGAGAAAACTAACTGGGTGGCCCGATGCCCAACACAGCCTCGAGTACCTCGGTAATGGTCGAACCCCCATACACCCCGGTGCCGTCTCCTACCCATCGGGGGCATGTGGCAAAGGCCGTAGCGGCAGGCCAGGGCTTTGTCAACAAGGTTTCATCATCGATATTCAAGTCGGCCATGGAGCCGACTGTCGTACACAGGAGCAAGCACAAGTCTAGGCCATCCATCACCTCACTTGAAAACAGCTCGATGAGGTATCTGGACAAGACGACTCCTGCGGCATCCTCGTCAGCAGCCACCTCGGCAACCACGCAGGTGCCCCAAACCAGCACGAATACAGACGCCAATACCGCTTCGAGCACACGCAGCTCGCAGCTCTTGTCGCCGTACGACTCGACGGGCAAGACGTCACTGGACTCCAAGTTCTCAGGGTCGGCCAAGTCCAAGGACCGAGAAAAGAACGCAAGCGCACTGTCGACAGTGACGGCAGAGAGGAAGGACAAGAAGCCGACGGGCAAGAGGCGGATTCCCCGGACGCGTTCCAGCCCCGAGTCCACCAATCTGACCCCTATCCAGGAGACAGACTTGGACCAGTCAACAGCAACGGTCGTGACAGTCGAGCGGGCAGCGGCGGCCAAGGTCTACCTTGAGACATTCTACCACAATCTTTGGAGCCAGCCGACACCTCGATCGATGCGAAGGCGCTTTCTCGAGGGCGATCTATACCGTGCGGCCAAGGAACAGGCGCTAGCCCCAGGCGAGGGGGATGCCCTGAGGCTGTCCTTCTACCGCGATGAGTCGGACTATCTGCGCGAGATGCGCGTCATCAAGACCCAGAGCATGCGCGCTCTCAGCTCCGACTGCCGGGGGGTGCCCCGCGAGTCCGACTACGATGTACTGAAGATACTGGGGAAAGGAAGTTTTGGGGTTGTACGTCTGGTCCGGGAGAAGTCCAGAGATGACGACAGAGTGCAGACACGACAGCGGCGGAGGCAGAAGCAGGTGTACGCCATGAAGGTGATCCGCAAGTCGGCCATGCTTCGGACTTGCCAGGAAGGCCACCTACGGGCGGAGCGGGACTTCTTGGTTAGGTCCGAAGGCTCGAGCTGGATCGTGCCGCTGATGGCGGCCTTCCAGGACACGGCGAACCTGTATCTCGTCATGGAGTACATGCCTGGGGGAGACTTCCTGGGGTTGCTGATCAGGGAGAACGTGCTGCACGAGACTGTGGCGCGCTTCTACGCGGCCGAGATGGTGCTCTGCGTCGAGGCCGCACATGCTCTGCACTGCATACACCGCGACATCAAGCCCGACAACTTCCTCATCTCGGCGTCGGGGCACTTGCGCATCAGCGACTTTGGGCTCGCCTTTGATGGGCACTGGTCGCACGACACGGCCTACTTCAGCAGCCACCGCTACTCGCTCGTGAATCGCCTGGGCATCAAGGTTGATGGCGATGAGCAGGACCAGCGCGATGGATCCAGGACGAGGCTGAACATGAAGTGGACCGCGGGTCTGATGACAGGCATGGAGAAGCACGAGCGCCAACGCGCTGGTGGCGAGAAGGGTGACGAGCTTGCAGCAGCGTCGACATCGCCTGGAGAGAAGCTCCTGGACTGGCGCAACCGGTGCGGCAACCGTACGTGGGCGACGAGTGTGGTGGGCACGAGCCAGTACATGGCGCCCGAAGTGGTCAAGGGCGAGCACTACGACGCACGGTGCGACTGGTGGAGCGTGGGTGTGATCCTGTACGAGTGCCTGTACGGGCACACGCCGTTTCTGAGCGAGGACGGCCGGCACCAGACCAAGCAGAACATTCTGAACCACCACCAGACCTTTGCGTTCCCGCACCAGCCCGGCGTCTCGCAGCGGTGCCAGCATCTCATCATGTCGCTCATCACAGACAAGCAGAACCGGTTGTGTTCGCGCCGCTACATGTTCAAGGACGTGGCGGCAGGATCCCATCCGGCGGCAACGGCGGCGTCGTCCGGAGTCAAGTTTGCCAACGGCGGCGGCAGCGGGCATGGGGACTTTGCTGACAGGTTTGTGTTTGCCTACGACGGCGAGGACATCAAGGCGCACAAGTGGTTCCGCGGGGTGCCATGGGAGCGGCTGCACACGCTGGAGCCTCCGTTTGTGCCGCATATCCGCGGCATCGACGACACGCACTACTTTGAAGACGACGAGGAGCCCGTCAGCGACTGGTCATCTACCCAGCCGTCCACCGAGGACGGTGGTGTCAATGGAGACGGGGCCGCGGATGCTGCCGACGACGGCGGCGGCGCGGGAAAGGGGGTCGAGAAGCCACGGCTGGCGGCGCTAACGCGGCAGCAGGCGCGCGAGGCCGAGATGGCGGTGTTCCTGCGCGGGTTCCGGAGCAGCATCCAGCGCATGGCGCGACAGTGGGTGGCGCTGCCTTACGACTCGCTGCGGCTGCGCAACATCGACTATGCCATCGAGCAGCTGCCGGGCCTGACTCCCGACGAGCGCGAGGGCCTCCGGGGATTCGTGCGCTGCTACGGGCGCAAGGAGAGGAAACGGCCGCGCGACAAGCTGCTGAGGGACCGCGCGACCAAGGGCGTGGTGCTCGAGCTGCGCAAGCGCAGTGCCTTTTTGGGCTACACGTGGCGCCGCAGACGCACCGGCGTGCACGACGCCCAGAGGGCTGCTTTGAATGCGGCGACAGCTGCTGCCGCCGCTGCCAACGCTGCCGAGGCAGGGAGGACGGCGGCGGCGGCGGCGGCGGCGGACATGGGCTCTGACGGATTTGTTGCCATGAAGGCGCTGCACCACCGGGGGAAAATGTACTGAGAGGCAGAGTCCTGGGAAGAACTTGCTTGAAGGAGGGAAGGTGACACCAGGAGGGAAGCACTATGGGTGGAGGGACGTGTTGTTGATGTGGGATGACAACGGCATGTGTTGTTGTTGTAGTAGTAGCAGGATTACGGAGATCAAAACGGTCAAACGAACTAGGTAGGCGTTTAGCTAGGCAGAATTACAGTATATCATTACTATGGAGGTGGGGAATCATGGTTGCTTGCGCATGGTATCATTGGGTTAATATACGACAGGAAAAAGAAAATGGCAAAACAAATGCAGAGACTGCATGGCCAGAAGAACCTTGACACCAAATAAAAGATTGATATGGTAGGCAAAGTCACATAAGGGGACAGGTCACCAGGCTTTGCCGATGGCAGAAGGGGTGGTAAAGGATGAAACGGCAAAGCTCTGCTGCGTCAGCCTGCTCGTGGCGACGGCGGCCGAGGTGGCAGCAGTAGCGACAGCGGCGGCCCTGGCGTTGGCCACCTCCCACTCGAACTCGCGCAGGGCCCGGAGCTCCGAGGGGATGAAGAGGAGGCCGACGATGCCCTCGAGCGCGCCGAGGCAGAGGGCCAGGCCGCCGACGAGCACGAGGACGAAGGAGACGTAGGACGCGTGCTGGACGGGCACGAACCAGACGGCCACGAGGCAGCCGACCCACGTCAGGACGCCCGTGACGAAGCGCACGGTGCGCCAGAACATGGACATCTCCTCGCGCTCGAAGCAGGCGTCGGCCAGCTCCAGCAGCTCGTCGTAGTCCCGCGTCGCTGCTCGTTGCTTCTCCTCCAGACGCTGGCCTCCCGACATGGCGGCGGCGGCCGCCGCAGTTGCGGTTGTTGTTGGCTGTAGTGGTGCTGCTCCCGGGTGGTCGCGCTCGGCCCCCGTCGGCTCGCTCGCTGTCCTGGCGTGGCCTGGCGCGTTGGTAGAGAGGTGGCCGCCCGCGGAGGATTCCTGGCCGGCGGTCGCTTGGTCGGGGGAAGTGATGGACGGCCTGGGTGGCTGATCGCCCTCGCCCTCGACGGACTCGAGGATGGAAGGGGCAGGGCTCTGGAGGTATGTGCCCCGGGTGACGCGTATCGTGCGGCTGTCGTCCATGTCGCTGACAGAATGGGCGGCGGCGGCGCCTCTCTTGCGCGGCTTCATGGCCGCGATGGAGAAGAGGCTAGACCCGCGCCTGGACACCGACTTCTCGGGCGAGAGGGCGGGGCCGGCGGCCGCCAGGGCCGCCTCGCTGTTCCTGAAGCCGAAGCCGTGGCCGGCGCCGGCGCCAAAGGCTCCGCCGCCTAGCACGCTCTTCCGGTTCCTCGACCCGGCCCCGTCGTCGGCCGGGGTCCTGGGCCGAAACTCGAGCGTAACGTCGACGGAGAAGTGATCGCTGAGAGAGCAGCCCAGGACGCGGTGGCGCGCGACCATGCCGACGGCAGCGGACCGGACACCCCACTCGCCGCCCAGCAGGTCCCGGTCACCGGTCCCGGCAAACACGTAGTCTATCCTGCGGGCCTTGGCGTCCGGGCAGCTGGGGTGGATGCCCGGGTCCTCCTCCCAGGCGGCCACGACGCGTGGGCGCTCGATGGCCAGGTTGCTGGTGGTGGCGCGCAGGTCGCTCACCTCGACGAGGCTCATGTGGCGGCTGGCCTTGCGCGTGAGCGCCTTCTTGCGGGTCGCGCCGCTGCCGCCCGACTCCGCCACGCGCGGCGGGGCGCCCAGGCGGCGCTGGCGCGAACAACTCCAGCCCCATGTGTTGTAGGCGCTGTCCGAGGTGACGCCGTTGACGTTGAGGTTACGGTCGGCGGTCGGGATGGTGCCGCTGATGTTTCCGTTGCTGGCGTCGTCGCCGTGCACGGCCTGCCAAGCGTCCATCACGGGGGCCTCGGAGAGAACGAGGCGATGGGGCAGCGACTTCGGAGGGGCGTTCAGGTCGCCGAGGCCGATGACGAGGTGGCCGCGGTCGGCGGCGGCGCGGAGCAGCTTGGCAAAGTGCCAGGCCTGGGCAGCCCGGTGAGGCGCGTACTGGTCATGATCGGGTTCGCTGTACGCGGCATGTGTGTGCGTGTTGAAGACCTCGATGATGTGGTGGCGCGCCGGGCCGTAGCGTATGCGAGCATAGGCGACGCCCTTGGCGGCGAACCAGTCACCCTTCGTGATGGCCGTCGGGTGGCCGTTGAGCGGGAAGGCATGCAGGCTGGTGTCCTCGATGGGCCAGCGAGACAGGATGACGAGGCCGGAGCCCACAACGCCACCGTGGAATAGTTTGCCATAGGGCAGGACGGCCCGGGTCTCGAGCCGGATGCTCTCGTAGTCGGTCTCGCTCCAGACCTCCTGCAGGGCCACGATAGCAGGCGCCGCGATGGCGAGGCGGCGCCCGATCTCGGCTATCCGCTGGGCCCTCCACTTGGAGATGAAGCGGAGGCCCCAGCAGTTGAGCGTGACGATACTGATTTCGGTTGGTAGCTCGTCCATCGTGACGTGTGGTTATGACTGTGCCTGTGTTCGCCCTGTCTGGTGGCTGCGAGAGCACGCACACGGGTAGCACACGGACACGCACCAGCTCCCTGCTAGCTCCTCGACAGTCTAAAACCCCGTCAGAAGCCGAGGTAGTCAAGAGGCAGTTGGCGGCAGGTGGTGTGGTGGTGTGTAAGGAGTGAAGATGGAGAAGCAGGAGAGAAGAAACCAAGAACGACAAGAAGATGGAGAGACAGCAATGAACACAGACACAGATACAGACACGGCCGGTAAACAGCCGAACGAACCCCTTAAACTCGGGTCAGGAACCATACCCAAGAAGAAGGATTCGCTTCCAGGATCCTGGCCAGTGGTAGACCTGACCTGACAGGGCCACAGGCCCTACAACAGGCCTTGCGTAATACCTACACAGTAATACCAGGGATCGCAGAACACGGGGGAGCGAGCAGCACAACGGCACATGGTGGTTCGTCGCTTCACATGGGCGACTGGTACGCAATCGTCGGGGTAAACAAAACAAATCACAGGCCAGCGGGCCTCTGAACAAAGGAAAAAAGGAAAGCACGACGTCAAATCGGAATTGAATGCGACGCTAAACATCACACCTGTCCTACGTCACTCCACTTTGACCGGCGATTTGGGTGGAGTCCCGCAAATTACCTTCTTTGCAGCTTCGCCATTCAGCAGCCATCCCTGCATTTTCCCGGCCTGCGAACTTGCTGCCGCAGCACCCAACATGCGCCATCACACACGTGGGCTCTACACAGGGGGTCCAGTAAAAGGCTCAGGCAGCCCAGACTCAGGCCCACCCAAGTGCTCGCCCTGGCAGTTGACATGGGGGAGCTTTGTTCGTTGCCGACCGCCCTGGCAGAATTCAATCCTCCGACGCACGCGTGCTCCCGACACAGCCCGCCCAAGGCCCACGCGACGGACTGACTGCCTGCCTGCCGACTGTTTCCTTTGCATGGAAGCCGGCAAAAGCCGACAAGAGCCGACGTTGCGAGGGGCTGTTTGCCTGGTTGGCGTGACGCTTCCGTTACTTGCTCTGTCAAAGCAAATTTGGGGCAGCCCACAAGAACCAACGACGCTGCTCTCTGAGCTAAACCGCCACAGCTAAACCGCCACCATGGCGGGCCCGGCCGCTGGCACCCCCGCCGCTGAGCCCCCGTCGAAGCGACGCAGGGTGTTGCGTGATGGCAAGCAGCAGCCGCATGACGACGACGATGCCCGCTCCTCGCCCGACCCTCTCACCCGAGACGACGAAGCCTTCACCCCGCGCCGGCTGTCCATCAGAAACCCGAAACCACCACCCGCCCACGACAAGAATACCATCCCGTCCGCCGTCTCTGTGCCGCCCTCCAAAACCCGATCACCAGACTCGTCGCCATCACCCTTGAGGTCTGCCCGGCCGACATCAAGGTCCGGGCCCGGGTTGAGGCCTCAGAGTCCATCCCTGTCGAGGACCCGCTCCCGCTCGCGCTCGCCACACTCAAGATCCTCATCATCGTCGCCGGATCGTCGATCTCCGTCAAGGTCAAGGTCACGGTCAAGGTCGGTTTCGAGATCTCGGCGCATAGGGGACCACTCCTCGGCCTCCCGCTCTCCCTCTCGCTCCCGCTCCCGCTCCCGCTCGCCAACCTCTCGTTCCCGTACCCGCTCCCACTTGGGGTCGCCATCCCCCTATAGGTCCCGCTCCGGATCCAGCTCCCACTCTCCCTATCGCTCCCCGCCGGATGAAGATGTCCTCCAGGCGCAATTATTGCAGCAGCAACAGCAGAAGTCGCCGAATCCCGAGCCGGCCGAGGTCAAGATCCGGTACCGCCCGAGGCTCGAGCTGAAGGGCCATATGCAACCCATCTCACAGGTACGCATCTCGCCAGACGGACGCTGGATCGCCTCGGCGTCAGCCGACGGCACCGCCCGCGTGTGGGATGCCGTCTCGGGCGCCCATATCGATACCCTCGTCGGCCACATGGCCGGCGTCTCGTGCCTTGCCTGGAGTCCAGACTCGGGCACCCTCGCCACGGGGTCCGACGACAAGGCCATCCGCCTGTGGGACCGTACCAGCGCCGAGCCCGCCCACGGCGTTGACGTCGATGGGGACGAGGACGAGGATGAGGATGACACCAGACGTGGGCGGGCACGTGCCACCAACGGTGCCAGGAGGAAGGAAGCCAGTACCGGGCCCTCCGCCGCTGCCGCCGTTGCTCGTGGCTCCCAGCGCCCGCTGCTGGGTCATCACAACTACGTCTACTGCCTTGCATTTTCACCAAAGGGTAACATCCTCGCCAGCGGGAGCTACGACGAGGCCGTCTTCCTCTGGGATGTTAGGGCTGGGCGTCTTATGCGGAGCCTGCCCGCTCACAGCGACCCCGTCAGTGGCATTGACTTTTGTCGTGATGGAACTCTCGTCGTTAGCTGCTCCACCGACGGGCTCATGTACGTTGTATACATCCTTTTCCCTGCATGCCTGAAACTTGCCCAGTGATCTAACTTGCTACCACCACAGCCGCATTTGGGACACATCGACAGGCCAATGTCTTCGTACGCTCGTGCACGAAGATAACCCGGCCGTGAGCAGCGTGTGCTTCTCGCCCAATGGACGATACGTTTTGGCTTTTAATCTGGACAGCTGCATCCGCATGTGGGACTATATAACCCTACCCTCAACTGTTAAAAAGACATATCAAGGTCACTTGAACACAGGCTTCAGCATCGGCGGCTGCTTTGGCGCCGTCGGAAAGGGCGACGAGAACACTGACGACAACTACCGTGCGCCAAACGATGGGGCCGATCTAGTCGACGACGAAGAAGGTGATGACGGCGACGATGATGTCGACGTCCTAGGGGACGAAGACGACATCGGCAGCCGGCTAGGCTTGCGCCACCGCCTGAACCGGAGGAACCGGAGGAAGCGGCGGGGGCCGTCGGGGCAGCAGGCCCTCGTGGCTAGCGCGAGTGAGGACGGCGACGTTCTGCTCTGGGACGTCAGCAGCAAGGAGGTTGTGCAGCGCATCACCGCCGCGCACGACGGCGTCTGTTTCTGGGTTGACATTGTCGGCGACACCATGGTCAGCGCCGGTAAGGACGGCCGCATCGTCGTCTACCACAACGGCAGGGCCGCGAGGCGGCAGAAGCCCGCCTCCGGCACCGAGCAAGCCGAAGAGACGGCGGTTGAGAAGCAGCAGGAGGACCAGGTCATGACTAATGGCGCAAACAACGGCGGCGACGCCGAGCACGCGGTCGACGACGGCGCCATGGAAATCGACGACGCAGACATACAGGCTGCGCTGGCCAAGGAAGCAGACGCCCTTGCGGCATGAGATCGCATTTTTATGATCTACGCCGGGGAATCAATGACCCGTTTCACAAGTAGCATAGCGTGCAGTCGTATTTGGGGCCCTAATACACCGATAGCATCCACCTACCACAATGATACCCCATCTTGAACGAAAGTGAAGCCAAGGAACCTCGTTTCCAGACTCCAAAAAGCTTTGGCCTATTTCGGTGATCTACCTCGTCTTGCAAAGTCGGATGCTGTATAGATACTGAAGAAAAAAAAGATGGATCGGTTTGTTCTATCATCCATCAGGGTAAGTGAAGATAACCCGTTTCTACCCGCCCGTGTCGTATAGCATCATACCGCCGTCGTTTGTAGATGGGATGCTATATAGCATAGCCCAAAAAACATGCCATCTTCGATGATGGCACACAAGAGGAAGGAAAAGGGGGGAAGGAAGAGCGAGGAAGAAAAAAAAGGGATTAAAGAGATACAGAGCTATATGGTCTCCCAGCCGCCATTGTTGATGTCCGCCTCGAGCTTCCGGGCGATGAAGCTGGGGATACCCTGGCCGAGCCAGAGGCTGCGCAGCATCGAGTCGTAGCGCTTCTGGTTGAGGAAGAGCTGCCGGCCGTGGCGCAGGCCCATGTCCATCTCGCCGTATTTGTCGATGAAGGGCGCGGGGCCCCAGGAGCCCCCGGGGCCGTGGAGGTAAAAGACGGAGCACTTGCGGATGTTGATGAACAGGCCGACGTTCTTCTGGCACCTGGTGTTGCGGGGGAGGAAGAGAGAACAGGTTAGTAAATTATAGACATGTAAAGAAGGAGAAGGGAAAAAGAAAAAAACAATACTCACTTTCTCATGTGCTGCTGGCAGCCCCCAATGCGCTTGACGCTCCCGTTCCTGCCCTCGCCGATCCGCTCCTCCTTAAGGCAGCAGATGGCCTGGCTGCAAAAGACCTCGCCGCAGAGCAGGCAGATGGACGCGTCCGACACGTCCTTGCCCGTCGTGGGGCAGCGGCTGTTTGAGCACTGCTCGATCAGGTGGTCAAAGTTCTTGGGCAGGCCCACGAGCTCGAAGATGGCCGGGTGGCTCACGAGCGCGCTTGACGGTAAGCTGGGCTTGCGCGGGTGCAGCACGTCGTGCCGTATCCAGCCGTGCACCAGCTGCTGCGTCGCCTGCACCGGCCAGCCGCACCGCTCGCCCGAGCCGTCGCCGCCCATGCCGTCGCTGCCCTGAGCGCTGCCACCGCCGCCGCCGCCGAGGGCCGCGCACATTTCGTCAAACGAGGGCACCCGAAGCGCCTCAGTCAGCCTATCCAGCTCCTCCAGCTCTGGGCTTGGCGACACGTGGCTGTTGAAGTCGACGCCGAAGCGAACGTAGAGCAACACGACACACTTGCGCAGGAACGCCAGGGCGTAGCGGCGCACAAACGAGTAGTAGTCCGCCAGTGAGGTGAAGCCGGGCTGGTCGAAGCCGCGGTTCTCGCCTAGGCTGTCGCGCGCCAGGATGGACACGTCCATGATGGTGCTCGGGGCGCCGGCGCGCGTGCGGGTTGTCATGTCCAGCTCGACGACACCGAGGCAGAAGGACGCAAAGTTGCGCAGGGCCGGGTCGTCCGTCTGCGGATCCACGAGCGGCGAGATCCAGGCCTGGGTCGGCATGTTGCGGCCCATATGGTAGACCACCTTTGTGATCTCGGCCAGGTAGCACAGCCTCATCAGGTGCGCAATCTCCAACTTCTGCATGCGCATGACGCCAAACACGCTCTCGCACAGGAACACGAACGGGTCCATGGCCAGCAGCGGCGGGTAGCTGTCGATGGGCCGCCGCGAGTTGCTGGTCTCGTGGCCTAGGTACTGGCCCATGAAGAGCTGGCAGTGCTGCCGCTCGCTGTCTTTGCGGTACTCTGCATCCACCCGGTTCTCGCCCGCGAGCTTCTGCGCGCCCACCGAGATGTACGAGTCCACTGTCTCGGCCAGGATCCGCAGGTGCGTCAACACCTGCTCCGGTATCTTGTCCAGCAGCGTCAGCCCGTATTCGGTGTCGGTGCCCCGCTGTGCGATCTCAACCGCCGAGATGGAGTAGCCGACCGCTCGCGCCAGAACGTCGCTAGCGCCCAGCTCGATCGAGCTGTCGTCCGAAATGTCCGGTATATGATTCGACGCTATCTTGTTGGTCCTAAGAGTATCAAGGAGGCGCCGGTAAACCGCGATGAGCTCCTTCAGCATGTCGCCGGCAGCCTCGGGCGCAGAGCCTACCTGGCGTGGAGACTCGGCTGCCGCCGCCGCCGCCGCCGCCGCCGCCGCCGCAGTCGGCCCAGGAGCAAAGAAGCGGGCAAGGCCCCCAACGCCTGGTATCCGGGATGATAGTCCTGCCAGGCCACCGATCGGCAACTCCCACGCTTCGACAATCAACTGGGAAGATTTTTCGGCCAGATCCCTGAGGAGCACAGTTTGCGTGTAGTTCCTGAACGAGAGCTGAACCTGGTCGTGTGGCCGCATCGCTGAGAGTGCGTAGTACGGGCTCGACGAGGTCTGGTCCACGAGAAAGGAGGCGAACGAGCGGGTGGGGTGCAGAGCGCCAGGGTACGAGTCCTCATGACCCTTCCAGATGATGGGCAGGAAGGCGTTACCGAGCGCTTTGCACAGCGGGCACACGAACTCGAGCCGATCCGTGTTCTCGGGGTGCTTCCGGGCGATCTGGTGCGTGTGGCGGGCGACGGTGGCCTTGAAGTACATCTCGAAACAGGCGTAGTGCATGATGTGGCCGCAGCCTGTCGACACGGGACCAGACTGGCAATTTCTGGCTGGGAAGCCCTTGCCAATCACCTGGCGCTCCGCCGTGAACAGCTCGCCCGCCGAGTTGACCTTCTGCACCGTCTGACGGTTCTCGCGCGCGACACCAAACGGTCGGGTGCTCTCGGCTGACCGGTCAAGATTCTTGGGCGTGTTGAGCGCCTCTCGCACAAAATCCGGATCCTGCAGGTCCGTCTGCCGCAGGATCGGGCTCTCTGTGAGGAAGGCGAAGGTACCGTACAGTTTGCGCTCGTCCGTGTCCTCTTGACATAGCAGGCAGGTCCCCGTAGGATATCTCCAGAAGTTCTTTTGTTCTTCCTCCATCGGCTGGGGTTCACCCTCTTCATCTTCGACATCGCCCCAGTCGATATCTGCCTGGCTTTCCAGGAAGCTTTGCTGCTGTTGCTGGAACTGGGCCATGACCCTGGCGTGTCTGTCCTTGGCCGCTTGCTTCTTTCTCTCACGCTCCTCCTCCGCATTGAGCCCACTTGCCGGAGATGCGGTACTTATCCGGTCAATCGAGATGCCCAGGCGCGCGTAGGCGGCCTCGAAGGATCTCGGTCGCTTCTGGCGCATGCGCTTCAGAATCAGGCTGATCTTGGCATGGCAGGCCTTGAGCTCCGTCTTTGTCGACATGAGATCCAGCAGCGTCACGATCGTCTTGGCCGACGGCGCATCTGGCATGAAGTTGCTCCGGGCCACCTTGTTCAGCGAGTTTTCGACAAAGGAAGGGGCACCAGCCACGGCCTCGTCGCCGCTCGCCTTGTCTTCCGAGATGGCGATCAGGATCAGGTGCAAGACGACGTGCGAGTACGTCTCGATCCGCGTCAAGGGGACGTTGGGTGTCAGCTTGGTGGCTACGAGGGGGTACAGAAGACTGTAGTAGATGACCTGGGCGAACATGCCCGTAGTCGTGAATGCAGCGAGGCCGGCGAAGACGCCAGAAGGGATGGGCCGCAGCTTGGGCTCGAAAACTATGTCGTCGGCCGGCCGGCCAGTCTTGGCTGCCATGGCCTTGCGGTAGGCGTTCTCGGATTCCTCGCGCTGGTTCTTGCTGTAGTGCGCGATATAGGGGTCGACGTCCTCAAAGTACTGCGGCTTCAGCTCAAACGTGCCGACGTCGGAGTTGCCCTCGGGGAACCTGAAGTTGGCAATCTCGCCGAGCACGGTGTGGAAGTCCTCCTGTTCCTGGTACTTGTCCGGAAGTTTGTTGCAAATTTCGGAGAAGGAGAGGGGTTTGAAGCACAGGACGTGGGTGACGTCGCGCCGTATAGTCATCAGATTGGGATTGGGCTCAACCTCGGTAGGGAGCAGCGAGGTGCGGTCGCTGAGAATGACGATGAGGAGGTGGAGCATATCTTCGACGACGTCGAGGTGCTGGATGTCGTCCTGGGCCGTCGACTTTTGTTCGAAGATGCCCTTGACCCACTTCTCCATGCTGAAGCGGTCTACGACCGAGGCGAGCACGCGGCCTGGATCACACGTCACCATGGCCGTCTGCAGGAGGAAAATGTCGCGGTGGTGCGAGACATCGCGGTGGCTGACGCCGCGGTACGTGCCCGCCTGGTGGCGGAGGCTGATGCCGTTCCGCACCCACATGCCGGCCTTCATCTGCGACAGCCAGGCGCAGACGCGGAGTGGGTAGTCAAACGCTGCCATGAGGTAGTCCTCGGGCGGCATCTCGCGCCTCGGCATGACCTTACGACCCATGGATCGCGGCTCCGCTTTGAGCTCCTGTGCCGTGAAGCTGAGCAGGGCGCGTAGCTGCTCGATGGGCATCGATTTGGCGCACTCGACCAGCCACGAGAGCGTGTAGTGGAGGGCGTGGTGGAAGCTAATGGGGTGCTCCTCGACCACAAACTTGACCACACGGTAGCCCGAGGGCCTGTCATCCAGCTCAAAATCGCCAAGTGTCTTGAACTTTACCTCGTCCTTGATCTCGGCCTGCGTGAACCGCGCCCGCTCGGCCCCGATGGAGTTGATGATGACCGTCTTGGCAGCGAGGCGAAGGGCTTTAGACAGGTACTGCCAGTCGCTATCGCCGAGGTTTCGGAACGACTCGGCAAACTGCCTGCACAGGCGGTTGATCTCACGGGTGACCAAGGATGCGTTGATCCATGTGTCGGTCTCGTACTCGACGTGCTCGCCGACAGCACGCGTGTTGGGGCAGATGCCCTGGTGCAGCTTGACCAAGTCCAGGAACTGCAAGCGGTAACGCTCCTCGGTACGCAGGCGCTCCTGCACATGCGGCGAGCCGAAGAGATACTTGAGATCCATGAAGAAGTGGTACATGCGCCGATTAGTGACCGAGCCCGTGTCGAAGGCAAGGACGGCGTTGGATGACACATCCCAGGGGTGGGCCACCTGGCGCATCGTCAAAAAGGTATACAGGATGGCCATCAGGGTTGTCAAAAAGTTCCCACGCTCCACCACCTCAGCTGTGATGGATGGCGTTGTCAGCATCTGCAACGAGATGTTGATAATGGAGTGGTCTGGCTCGCGATCTCCAATGAGATATAGCTGTGCCAGCGTCGTGTACAGCCCCGCGAATCTCAAGCCGAGCACTCTTTTGAATTCAGGGATGGTGACGACCGTCGAGATGTATAGCGACCTGATGTCGTTGCGCACCTTCTTCCACATGCGCAGGTCAAATAGCACCATCCAGTCCAACCGCACCCGTTGAAAGAGATCCTCGGCAACGGGCAGCGTTCCCTGGTCCACATACGCCTGAGGCACCTCGAGCCAGTATTTACCGGGCCTCGGCGGCTGTTTTTTGGCGTCCTGCTTTACGCCCGGCGTCTTGGGTACCTCGATATTGCTCTTGGCATAAACTGTAGGCGCGATTAGGGGCTCGGCTGTGTCCGAGTCCGACGGTGTCACGTCACGATTTCTGGTCCGGCGCGTAGCCGCTGAAGGAGGGGGCGGTGGGGGCGGTGGTACCGGGTAGGTTGACATGGCTGTCTCGTCCTCCCTAACGGCTGTTGGGGGCTGTTCAGTGGCGGGCGGCCGCTGCTCCTGTTGCTGCTGCTGCTGCTGCCCCGCCCAATCATCCATAGCAACGTCGGCAGTATCTCTAGCATCGACCATAACGACATCGTCGTCGTCATCGTCGACGTCCCCGCCATTGCCGTCGTCCTCGTCTTCGTCGACACCACCCAAGGGGTTGCCGGCCATGTCTGCATCGTCGCCATCCTCATCCTCACCGTCGTCATCGTCGTCGTCGCCGTCGTCGTCATCATCCTCAGGCTCGACTTGAGGAGGACCAAGGAATCCCCGAGCGAGGCCATTGATGACAGCGACACGACCTCCTTGCCGGACCGCCTGCAGCAGCTGGGCTTCCACAGCGCCGCGGTTACCAGCCACCCAGCTCGCAAATTCCTCCATCTCGCGTTTCTGGTCGATGAGATCCTCGTCATCCATGCCATTCTCGCCGACGATGGCATGGTTTGCAGGACTGCCCCGTCGCCACGGCTTCAGCATCTCTTCGCACACGACGCGGCGGAGGACCTGGGAGTCCTGGCCGACGAAGCATCCCGAGATGTCACACAACCACTCGATCATAGTCCCACACATTTGCTCACGGAAGGTGTCTCGGGAGGAGCGGATGGTGACCGTGACCTTGATCTGCTCGAGGATCTTGGCGATGTCGAGCAGGTCCGGGATACTTTCCGAAAAGTAGAGGATGGACCGGCCAATAGAGTCCGTCTCGTAGGCACGTTTCAGACCCTCGGCCAGGGGCACTTTGCACGCCCTGGCGACCTGGTCTCTGACATCGTGCACAGTGTGCTTCTCGTCGTTCCACAGAAGCACGGCGTACTCGGGAGGGGGGCCAACATCGCCGCCGCCATAAGTGGACGAGAGCCGGGACATGCGCTCGTCCAGCTCGATGGACTCGGCCGTCTTGGCGGAGCGGAGCTGCTCCGGCGAGCACGAGATGACGTCGCACAGGTAATCCAAGACCCGGCCGATGGTCATGCGGACGCTGGTGACGAGGTCGTCGGTCAGAACGAGTGACTCCTTGCCCTTGCCCTTGAGGCGGTCGTGGTCAAAGATGGTGTGGATGGTGCAGAACATGGGCAGCTTCCAGGCCTCGGGATCGCCGCAGTCGCAGCAGCCACTGTTGCCAGGCGAGACGCTGATGCGGACCATGTGGTTCGTGTGGTCGGTCGAGTCGAAACAGCGGGCGCAGAGCACGCACGTATCGTCTGCGCTACAGGTGCGACAGCTGTACGTGGCCTCGCCGGCGCGGAAGATGTGGCCGCAGGGCTTGCCGCGGGCGGCCTCGGTGAATTCGGCGCCCTGGACGGCGCCCTGGGCCTCGCGGAGCTTGAGGGTGCCGTCAGGACGGGCGGGGCCGCCCTTGTCGGGGAAGAAGAGGCGCAGGTACTCCTCGCGGCCGCCGGCCATGGACCAGAAGAGGGCGCTCAGGAGGTCGCGGGCGGCCGTGTCCGAGTACCGGTATTTGTGCATGGCAGGCAGCCCCATCAGGAACTGACAGAGCTGCTGCTCCTGCGACGACATTTGCTCGTCCATCGTGTTGGCCGTGTCTTGGATCAGGTCATTCTTGAGGAGCAGTTGTGGTTACGAGGGGCAAGCTCGAGTGCTGGTGGCTGTCGGAGCCTCCTTTATCAGGGCACAGAAGGCGGGCGGGCAAGCTATCGTGGGGCGGAGGCGGGAGGTCGGCGACTGGGGCTGCAGCGGCGTGGTGTTACGGGCAGGAAACTGAAAGGAGAGCTTGCTGGCGATGCTGGCGATGCTGGGTCTATTGGTCGAGGCAAAGGGTTGGGGATTAGCAATGGAAGTTTCATGCACCGCACGGGGTTGTAGTCGTGGAGGCGCCGTTGAAGGGCGGTTGGTTGCCTGCAGCTGTTTTGGGCAATTGCGAAGCTCGAGGCACCCAGCGGGGTTCTGGACAGGGCTGCGCAGCTGAGGATGGCCGCCGCCAAGTGGGCAAGGTCTCACTGTGCTGCCTGAGCTCATGCAACTGCCTAAACCCAGCGATGCAACAGTCTCATCGCTCTGAACGGCCACAGTGCCTTCAGAAATCATATGCAGATAATCAGGGTTTGGGAGACTGTGCACCTTGATTCTACATGGCGAGGTGCATCTTGTTCAGTCACCTGGATAGTAACAATACCTGATCAAAGCTCCATCACCTAATCTCTACAAGTTGCCTGCTATTTGCTATGCAGTTTACACCAGCTCTCACTTGGGGGGGCGTGCTTCTTCGCACTGGGGCATCTCTATTGATGCGTGTCTCTCTGTTCCCAACTACTTCTTCTAAACCCAGTGACTAACGCCTGTCCGCATCACCAGTCCAACCCAGGGATGCCGAGTGTAGTGCCTGTCCCAGTCCCAGCTCCAAGTTGAACCCCGCGACATCATTCCTTCCAGCGCCCGTCACATTCAGTGCCTCGACTGAGGCTGCACGATGACGGGGCCAGTGAATCACAGATGCTTGAACGTCAGCCTGCAGGGATGCTCAGTTGAAGGATGAACTTATTTGACCGTCTAGATGATAACCCGGGCTTTTCTTTCTTTCTAAGCTGTACACATCGGCTCTGATATACTCGTGCGCAGCTCCACGGCGCATAGCACTGTCTTTGTTGGCTTCGGCTCGCGCTCGTCCCGTTTACTCGTCGTCCTCGACAGCCTCCGCATACTTGTGGCGGATATCCTTCCATTGGCGCTGTGAAGAAGACAAAGGTTAGGCAGCTGCTGCAGGTTCCTGTCGGCCCTTCGAGGGGCATGGCTTGCTTCTTACCCCCCTGTTCATGTTGTCCCAGACCCTGTTCATGACCGAGTCGTAGCCCCTATTGCGTTGCCCCCGTCAGCTATTCCCCGTCCGCAGTGATCGTGTCCGGCCGTCGACGGTCGGTTCGAAGGAGTCGTCCCGGTGGGGATCGGCTCAGAAAACTACGCACATCTCCCATGCGAAGGCACCGGCGAAGACGGCGCCGAGCATCACGGCATTGCGCCTGAACAGGGCACTAAAGAAGGGGACGGCGAGTGTTAGAGCGGCGGGCCCGTCGACTGATCAGGAGGGGTCTCGAGGGTTCGACTTGCTTGTAGATGGCGGAGACCTGGATGCGGTTGGTGTCACATTGTCAGTCTGCGGAGCACTCTCTGCGGCGAACCTGGCGGGCGGCAGGCCGGTGTGACAGCGGCGATACTGACCATGGCGGCTGTGGAATTCAATGGCTCGAGTTTCGCGCGGAGAGACCGTGGGCGGACTATGGTGTGGCTGGCGATGCGCGGTGCAGGTTGCTTGGTGGTGATGGTCGGCAAAAAGCTGGAAATTCAATCTGCTCAGCCTGCATCACCAACCAACCCGTTCCGATTCGCCGGCAGCTTTCGGGTTGTGTGGCTGTTGCGCGTGGTGTGTGGTGTGGTGTGGCTTTGCATGGGCCCTGACTGACCGGGTGTGGCGGCTGAAGTCCATAGCTCCCTCGTCTGAGTGGGTGCCCAGCGGGGTGCACAACCTCAGCATTTGAACGGGTGGCACCTGCTCGAACATCAAGCTCGGGCACTCAGTTCGACTTGGTCTGAGGAGATGATTGTTTCTCTCCGCCAGCTCCTTCTACGCCCCTCCAAGTTCTGCTGCAATGCGCTGCGCAGTTCTCACCACAACTTCTGAGATGCATCGCCCATGATGAAATAAATACCATACACGCCCCTACCGAGCAAACCCAATCCCCAGTCCACGCTCTCAACCACCGCACTCACGAGTCACACCCACCGTCACCAAATCGGACTCTTAACAAGGCCTTCCCCACGATGCCTTCGGAGGCAGTGCCCTCGGTGTCGGGCATCATCACTGACGACGACGGCCAACGCCACATCCCCGAGTCAACCAGGGCCGACGGCAGCACGCGCAAGGCCATCAAGATACGCCCGGGATACAGGCCCCCCGAGGACGTCGAGCTGTACAAGAACCGCACCGCCGAGGCCTTCCGCAACCGCGGCAAGAGCGCCGGCATCCCCGGCGCCGAGGGCCTGAAGGAGAGCGCCCCCGCCGGCGGGGCCTCGTCCGCCGCCAGCAACAAGAACGCCAAGAGGCGCGAGGCTCGCAAGAAGGCCAAGGCCGCCGAGGACGGACCCACACCGCCCGCCGGCGCCGCTGGCAAGGATGGGGCGGCCGCGGCCGCGGCAGAAGCCCCCGATGCCGCGCAGCCGCAGGAGGCGAACCCCGAGGCTGAGAAGGAGAAGAAGGTTAGGAACCTGAGGAAGAAACTCAAGCAGGCTAGGGAGCTCGAGCAGAAGAAGGAGGACGGAGGCTCGCTCCTCCCTGAGCAGATCGCCAAGGTGATCAAGATCAACGAGCTTGTCAGGGAGCTTCAGGCCCTCGGCATCGACACGGCCAGCGAGAGCAAGGAGACGAAGGACACAAAGGACTCGGGCCCAACCAATGAGAAGTGAGCCGTTCACAGGCCGCTCACGTTTTTTGTCAGACATGCTATCTCTCGCCCTTCGGATCCTCCAGCTCACCCAGCGGTGGTCACGTTTCTGGAGCGGAGCGCCGAGTCCCTCCGACTCCAACCGACCACGTGATCGCTCACCTCGCCTGCAGCCAGACCGTCTCTTCTGTCGGGCGAGCGCTGTCAAAGACGTATTAGTGCACCTGCGGGAAGGTTGGGTGACATTGAAGTGTCACTTGGACCATGCAGGTCTGGCTGCAGGCCCCGGATGCCCGAGGGTGGCAGCCGACAAGGCGGCAATGCACCATGTTTTTTCCACCTACGGAAACGCCGGGCCCAACCGCTGACCCGCACTGGGCTTTCACTGGGACCGTCGCTGGGGGCACTGGGGGCACATGCAATATCTATAGAGAATGCCGCACGCAGCTGGGTCTCATATTAAGCACGACATTGGGTCTGGTATAACGAGGGATATCAAATGAAGATAAAGGAAGCAAGCCAAAAAAAAAGAAAAAAAAAAGAGAAAGAAACAAAGGGAAACATGGAAAGGAGTGTGAACAGGCAGCGGGCAGAAGACCCCAAGCCTCGTCAGTCTCGCAAAAAGATTGGTGTTGTCACCCCCCCGTCTGCCCAGCTAGTGCTGTGGTCGAGCAACTGCCGTGAGTGCTGAATCACCTGGCCGCTCCCAACACCTTTCGCCCGCCGAACCACCCACCCTCACGCTAGAGAGAACGTGTCTGTTATTTACTGTGCCACATGCGGGCATATTTCACTCTGCAACTCCCCGACACCACACGCCATGCATACCCTCCCAAAGCCCCCCAGGAAACCCCGGTAGACCGGACCAAAAAAAGAAAAGCCAAATCATAACGTCATGGGAAGCCAAAACCCAGCATCAACCCGACCGACCGACCCCCGAAGAGGCGAGTTGCCCCACCCACACAACAAGACAACTTCGGGCGATTCTAGCCGAAGCAGGCCAGCGCCTCCAGCGGCCTGTCCCGCCCGCTGTCGATGTGCTGCTGCTGCTGCTGCTGCTCGGGGGTCTCCTGCTGCCTCGCGGCAAAGGTCTCGCCGAGGAACTGCACAAAGACGTCGATGTCGCGGGCGGTGCTCATGGGCCCCAGGCTCGCGCGCACGACGCCCGTAGGCAGCTGGTTCACCATACTGAGGCCGTGGGGCCCGCAGTGGTGGCCGGCCGACATGGCCCGCTCGAGCTCCCAGGGCTCGTAGTCGAGGGCCGTGAAGAGGCCGCCGGGGCAGCAGATGCCTGTGGGTTCGGGAGGTCACAAAAGGACGTGTATGTGTTAGCAGCCCATTTTTTTTTGGAGGGGGCGTGGAGGGGCTACTAGTTATAGTAGCAGATATCGGGACTTACCTCCGGAGCGGATATATATGCCCTTGCTGTTGGCCACCTCCTCGACCTCGGAGTAGGGCACGTAGGTGCCGTCCGGGTTCACGACGTTGAAGGCCATGGTGGCCCCTTGCCTGTCGGCGTCGCCAAAGGCCGGGCGCGTGCCCTCCTCGTCGCCGTAGATGTGGCACACGGGCGCGCCGTCGTGGTGCCTCAACCCGGCGACGCCGCGGAACAGGCGCGCGGCCAGGCGGCTCGTGTGGCGCGACACGTTGTCCATGGACCCGTACAGGCGCTCGTGCACGCCCATGGCCTCGCCCAGCGCCAGGATGCTGTGGAACGGCAGCGTGCCGTCCTCGAGCCCGTCGTGGATGCTGTACTCGGCGGCGGCTCCAGGCGGCTGGGCCGCCGCCGCGGCCGATGCCTCGTGGCCTTTGGACATGTGCCACGCCTTGCCGACGGCGCCCACCATGGTGACGGTGCCGCCGCCAAAGTACTTGCGCAGTGTCAGGATGTGGCCCGAGTCGCGCCGCACCACGAGCCCGCCCAGGTCCGGGAAGCCAAAGATCTTGTAGAAGGACAGGGCCGTGAAGTCGGGCGCGGCGTCCGGGTCGGCAAACACGCCTGCCATGGGCTTGGTCATGGCCAGCGCCGCCGCGTCGAGGAGGCTGTACGTGTTTGCGTGCAGGCCGCGCCCGCCACTCCCGCCGCCGGGCCCCCCATGACGCAGCCGGCCGGCCCACGAGAGCGGCAGCCGGCGACCCGACATGTTGGACTGGCCCGGGTAGGCGAACAGGCCGAGGCCCCCCGCGGCGCGGCGGCGGCCGCGGATGCTGTTCTCCATGGCGCCGCGGCCCATGTCGTCGCCGGCGAGCCAGGCCTCGACCTCCATGTCGGACCCGAAGCAGCGGGCGTGGCCGGCGCTGTTGCCGCTCGCCACGCCGGCGCCGCCGGCCAGCTCGCGGACGCCGACGAGGCTGGTGTGCGAGTCCTTGTGGTAGCCGTACCAGAAGGAGCCGCTCCAGGTGCGCTCGGCCAGGTCGCGGAAGGCGTCGGCCACGAGCTTGATGGCGGCCGTGGCGTTGGCCACGAAGACGAGGTCGAAGTGCGCCGGGTCCGCGCCCAGGAACCGGAGCGCCCGGTCCCGGATCTCGTCCACCATGTCGCCCGACGCCTTGGCCGGCTCGTTGGCCGAGTGCGGGTTGCCGTACAGGTTCTTGGTCATCTTGTCGGCGAAGGCCTCGACCGTCGAGCGCGCGTAGATGGTGGTGCCGCTGTGGTCGAGGTAGATGCCTGGTGAGGGCTCATTGTTAGAGAGTTGGGCTTACGCACAGTGTGTTTTCTTGTGATAGACGACCAAGTGCTGTGTGTATTGGGTGTATTGTTGTAGGTGGTTATAACAGGGAGTGGGGGGTGGGTGAGGTGAATAAGAGGAACAAAAGTGGACAAGAGTCAAAGCACATCTCACACTCACCCTGGTTCATATGCGGATACTCCCTGTCCCTCAGCATCTCGACGGCCTCACCATAAGGACCCTCGTTGTATGCCTCGAGACCAGCCGGGGGAGGCGGCATGAGCTGCGTCGCCGCCGGCTGGCTGTAGGTTGATGCCCAGCGGCGAAGCGAGTCTCGGGCCGCACTCTGACACGCAGCAGCATGCTGTCGGGACGAGACGAGGAGGAGCGGCCTGTTAGGGTGGTTGTTGTTGGTGATGTGTGACCTGGGTCGTCTGACGGCATGATCCGCCCACAGGCATGCCCGTGGCCGCAGGGCCCGGACGGGGCCATCCAGTCGCAGCAGAGCCATGCTGACTCTGGGTCTCGACGGGTAGCTTTGCCGGCTGGGGTTCCTCCTTGTTTTTCTTCTGGCTCCTCTTTCTTACGAAAGTAGGAGTTGCTACACAAAGAATACAACGAAGAGCAGCCAACCAAATGGGAAGATACGAGTCTCAGGGGGAAGCAGCAGGGCTTGGGTATGGACTGGGAAGCAGAGAGAGAAAGGTGAGACAAGCAGTGGATTTGATTTGTGTGAAAACAGAAGTCCGAAAGCGAAGCGGTTTATAGTCCGACCTGGGCGGGGAGGGGAGGCCGAGGACACATCGGCGGACTACCACCCACCCACAACCATGTACATGCGTGCATCTTTGACATGTCGACAAGCGGGCGACGCTAGCCAGCTTGACGCACGTCGTGATACCACCCAACCCAACCTGTCCGCTGCCCATCCCTTCCCTTCCCGTACCATCCCATCCGAGCCCCCGGTCCCGAAGAACCCTCCCCCCCTCGTCTCGTCTCGTCTCCATGACCGCACCAGAGCAGTAGCCGCCGTGGCGACGTGGAGACATGGAAGTAAGTCTCTAGTTTCTAGTCTCGGCCTAGAAAGGTGGATGCGGCTGGGCCCCGGCCACTGCTGCATAACGATAGTTGGGCGGCATTCACTTGCCACTGTGCTGCCCGCCCCATCCCCTCTGGACCCAAGGTCGGGGAGAGGGAGGGGGACCAAGATGGTGCCTAGCAAACTGCAGGTTGGCGAATGCTGACCGATGTGTAGGCGAGGCCGGCTGTGGGCAATCTCGCCGCTCTCGTCTGCCGTTGGCGAGCTTCGAGCTCCACGCCACCCCAATCGAACACCCAGGCACATTCCGTTCATCTCATGGCTTTACCGCTTCATGTCGCGCCTCGGCGGCAAATTCGGGTTCCCGTGAAATAAAACATGGCCCAATAAAGAAGAAAATAAAAAGAATAAAGAAAAATAGAATAAAGATAGACTAAGGACGGGTTGGGAAAAGAAAGACGAGTCGAGACGAGGAGGTGGTGTGTGAAAGGCCATACGCGATAGGCAACGACCAAAGGCTGAGCAGCAGGCCTGCAGTAGCTCGGAACAGGTGAGGAGCTTTCCTGCAGGACAAACGAGGTGAAGCCATGTAAATTTACCAGCCGACTGATCATAGCGTGCCGCGTCCCACTTTGGATTTCCGGTTGAGTAGCCGAAAGCGGCGGCCAGCCTGATCCGCTAGCGATAACACGCAACAAAAGAAGATGGCGCTAGAGAACTCTCTCGCTTTCGACTCGTCCCTCGTCATCCCCTCCCTCTCCATCTCTTTCCCTTTTCCCTTGCTGAAAGGGGGCGAATAAGTAATCAAGTGAGGGTAGTAGGGTGAGAAGCTTGGCGATATCCGGGCAGCCTTCCACATCTGGCAGTGGATCTAAGCTCGGATATCATAAAAAAAAACCGCTAGCTGGCAGAATGGAACCAGGGCAGCAAAAATACTACTGGTGCTGCCCAAAACATAGGCAAACAGATGAGTGGGAATTCTGACCAAGCCCCCAAGATTCCTCTCTGGACAAGAAAAGGGTGGTCGTATCCCAGTCGCCAAGCTGAGTCATGATGAGGGGACCACCTCGGAGTTATTTGGGGGCCGCGAGGAAGCAGGAGGAGCGGTATTTTTTTTAGTCCAAAGTTGCCAGCCCATCACAAGAACCTCACAGGTCAAGCTGGGCAGAGGGGCAAGACAGAGAACCGCCAAGCAGGAAACGTCGGAGGCGGAAAATATCTAACGCGCTACAGCTGGGTATGCATGGAGGACGTGGTCATGGGGAGGAGATATCTGGGCGGCGGGATCAGACCGTCAAGTCTCCAGGGTGGGTCCGAAGGCACCGGTCAAGTCAAATTGCCCTTTTGGGTTGGTCTTCACAGATAAATGCGGAAAAAAGCACGTGGGGTCCGCGACGCGGTGAGGTGCGGTGAGCCCGAAAGGCGCATGCGTGGCATACGGAGGGATATCGTTGGCATCATGGCCGTGGCCGCAAAGCCATGAGAGCCCAGCATGCCGGTTTGTGATGTCCGCCATAGGTGGTCGCACAGCATTATCCCCAGGCGAATAAACGGCCGTATCCCAGGCTGATATGGTGATATTGACGCCACTAGGCTGGAAGAGGCCGCACGAAACGCCGAAAAGGGAACATCCGCCTCTGATGTGCAAAGGAACAGGAAGAATTCATGAGGCAAAATAAGAAGACAGCAGAGTAGCGGGTAGACGAGAGGGCGGGAGGTGTCATAGAATAGGGTTCATGGAAAGGGCCAGCAGCGCCTGCTTGGAGTATGTCCTCGAGCGGGCTCGCCCAGGGGACGGCGGCAGGGATTGTTGATACCTCTCTGGATACCTTGGCTTCATGAGCGGTGGGCGAGGTGGCAAGAGTACCCTCACCGGTACATAGTTCGGGCCCGTGTCGAGGCGATCGCTGGAGAATACCCCTCTCTTGGGCGCCGCAACATGCACAGAACCATGCTCGCGGTGTGCGCTTGCATATGCCCGAGACAGGCCGCGGGCGTCGCTGTGGGCAGACGCCCGCCAGAGGAGCCAAACCCCGGATCTCGGCATGTAGGTCGATAGTTATCTCTGTGTGGGGAACTCGGGCACGGTGCGTGGATGTGACAGGTCGGGCGATTGGACGGGCAGTTCCGCTCGGGAGGGGGTGCGCAGGGTCGGGTTCGTTGGTTACTCGCCCAAGCTGTTGGCAGCTCACGAAGCGGCTTCTCTGTCCCGCCACGTTGCCCAAAAAATTAGCAATACACCAAAAGGATGCACCTTCCTCACCAGGTATTCTTAGCACAAAACAATTTATTTAAAAGCCTAAAATGTAGTGTAAGCGAATATAAAAGCAAAAGCTTCGAATGCGATCCCTATTATTTTTCTAGCAAATTTATACACTGCGTTTTGCAAGGGCCGATTCCAGCTGCCGATGGTTTGTCGAGCGAGATCTAGGAAAGTGTCTCCACTTTTACCTTTTTTGGTGTATTGTTGATTTTTTGGGCAGCCTCTGTCCTTTCCCGTCCCCTGGTCGACAGATGTGCGCTTGCGCAAGGACGCGGCCAACTAGAGTGGCAGCTTGCACTAGCCTGCGTCCCTAGACAGAAACGACGTGGCTGGCCGGTCGGGTGGGGAGTTTTTTCGGACCTACTCGTGCGGCGCAAGTGCAGGCTACAGCAGGGCCGTTGCCATGTGCAGCGGTATGAAAAAGAAAGGAGAGGAAGCAGGAGAAAAGAAAAAAGGGGAGAAGGGAAAAAAAAAGAAAAAAAAAAAGCAAAGGATGTGACGAGGAACACATACCAAATTAGCCACCACTTGGTCACCTAGCATGAGGCGGAGCGCTGCAAGGGACGCTTCCTTCTGCGTCTTGACAGCGGCCTGGGCATGCGGCGGCGTCAGGGCAGGACCGGCTCGTCGCAGCTCAGGCCCAAAACTGCTGTGAATGGATGGAGGCGTGGAAGCGTGACCGTCGAGATGCCAGCTTGGAGTCTAAGGGACGGCACGACGGGTCTCAAAAGGGGACCATTGGACATTCTCCACCAAGATTGGCCAGCACCGCATCACAAGGACTTCCTGCTGAACTGATCCACGGTGCGTCTCGGGTCGCACGGGCCAGCAAGTGGACCCGGGCTTCTGGGATCATCACCATGCTTGTCAAGCGAGGCTCGTGACCCAGACGACGCCAGAGGACACCCTCGCGCTGGCCACTCAGGCTGGCTTCTCGCCATGTCCCAAAGTCACACCGGTCCCCTAATCATCAAGCACACGTAGACCAGCGACGGCATCAGGCGAGCACAAAACCACATTGGCAGACGTCAACCGCCTTCTCTTGAGCCATGTTTTCTCGAATTAGAACTATCTACTCGTGCTATCACTTTCGAACTAAACTTATGCTCTCATGTGACAAGGCAAGCAGCCAATTAACATTACAGCCCTCCTCCGCAGCCGCCCCTTGAGGTACGAGGCGGTTGATCCTTTCTACCGACATGCGAGGCTACCGAGCCTCACCCGACCAAACAGGATCTAAGGATGAGAAGGGAAGGAAGAAGAGTAAAGAGCAAGGGAAAAAAAACACATCCCAAAACCGTCTCTAGCCGATCCGGTATCAGTCAACCTGACTGAGAAGAAACGAGGTCAACCCTTGACCCCTTTTAACGCCCGACGCCGCTGTGCCCAAGCAACCCCCAGATATTTTTCTTCTGTTTCTTTTCTTTCCCATTTTCGAGGCCCCTCCATGGCGGTTTAGATGTTCAACGCGACGGCCGCCAGCATGGCCACTGCTCCCGCCGCCGTTGCCATGCCAGGCAGCGCGGCACCGGCAGTCACCGGCATAGTTGGGGACGTGGTCGGGAGGCCCGTGGTGTTGGAGGGAATGGTCGGGGACAGGGTCGCCAGCGCCGACGTGGCCATGGTGGATGAGGCGGCCATTGCCGTTGTAGATGTGCAGTCATCCGCGTCAGGCTTGGGAGGCTGGCTGCCGCCCGAGCCACCCTCAACCTTCTTGAAGTTGGCACAGGTGATGCGGGTCTTGTTGGCATAGTGGAACACGAGACTGCGGTTGCCAAAGAAGGCGCCGATGCCCTCGAATGTCGACGCGTACTTGTCCGTGTAGGTGGCCGTGAAAGGGTCCGATTTCACCTCACCCCACTTGCCGCTCAGGTCGCCGACTTCACACTTCTCCGGTGCCGACGAGTCGCAAGGCGGGTTCTCGCCACGAAGGAAGGGGTCCAGGTGCGCCAGCGTGGCGGTGCAGTTGCCGTTCTCGGGGACCGGCGCAACGTGAAGGTGGTACTCTAGAGGTTGATTGGTCAGTATCGTCATTTCTTATTATTGTTTGTTTTCCCTTCTTCTTTGCTTTTTCTTGATTACGCGAGCACTGCTGCCATCCAGTGGATTGCGCCCACGGTGTGGCACACGGGGAATGCTGCACTCACTGAAAGGACCACCCTCCTTGGGGAGGTTGGAGAAGTGGACGGTGAACATGACACCGACACCGTCGGGGCTAGCAACAGCCGAGACGTGACCCTTCGCATTGCCGCCGTCGGCATAGGCCGAGCCCTTGGTCCAGGCAACCTCGGGCAAAGTTGCGACATAGACGACGCCAGGAGGGTTGTTGGAGACAACCAAGGCGTCACCAAGTTTCTGCATTGGAAACCACCATGTCAGCAAGCACGGTCAGGCTTGTTTGGAATGTCGACAGCCAAGTGTGCCGTCATATTTTATGTAGGAGCCGGGTTGACATACGCCCGTGGCAGTCTCGTTCTGGGCGCTGACGCCGACGGCGGCGGTGGCCAGGATGGTAGCGATGGTCTTGGTCTGCATCGTTGCGGTCTAACTGTGCTTCCTGTATGGATATGAGGAGGTAGGAGGACGGTGCGCAGTTCTAGGTTGTCGTGGTCGCGGCGTTGGGTCTGCCAGGTGGTCGGTCTATTGGCCGAATATTTTAGAAGAGGAACGACGGATGGTGGTGAGGTGAGGGAGGGCGGGAAGCAGAGGCGGCGAGGAAAGAAGCCTTATAAAGAAAAAGAAGAGGCGGTGCTGAAGGGAGGGAATACAAGATGGCGGCAGGGGTGGGGGAGCCACGCCAAGGTACCACCTACTCCTGCAGCACTCAATGACAAAGGGCGGCGGGCAGCAATGATGGATGGAGACACAGGCCGGGATCAAAGGGCGGAAGGAGACAGGTCAGGTTGCGCAAGTGCTACCGACAACCACCTCCTCAGCTGGTAGAATGTCAGATTGGACTGCCCCGATATTGCAGAGACGACGGAGAAGCTCGCAACGCATCATCCATTTGGAAAATGCAAACAAACTCGGATGCAAACGAGCATGCCCAGCCTGGGCGGAAAATCGCCAACACGTTACTCGCGAACGGGGGTCGTGCCCCAGCTAATGGATAGGCGACCCAGGCTCGCCGTACCTGCAGTCGGGCAGTCGGGCTGTTGTACTAGTAGTTGTCTAGGTAGTACGGGGGCGCCTGGCCCCACACCACCCAATGGCGGGAGCCGGCCTCACCAAGCAAGGAGGCGGCAGCAGCTGGCTACGAAACGAAACAAAGAGTGGTGACCCCCAGATTGAGGCTTGGCGATGGGGGGCAGTTCGCGATTATTTCCCCTCCTGTCCATTCAACGGCGTGCCTTCACCCGAGGGGGTTTGGAATCATTCTGCTTCCCATGTGGTAGCCGACCTTTGAATTTAATGAGTTCTATGGTCGGATTAACGAGGCGTTTGGAATCATACTGCTTCTCATGTGGTAGCCGACCTCTGGGAATTAATGAGTTGGTCCGATCAACGAGGCCTTTGGAATCAATCTGCTTCTCGGGTCGCAGCCGCACACTGCCGGCCACTGCGAGCAGCGGAAGCAGACAAATTGGCGACTGGGAACTCTGGCAGAGGCGTCATATCTGCGGGATCAAGCCCGCCGTGCCGGTTTCGTGCAAATCTTTTGCGTGAATTCCATGTCAACAGGCGACGCGCTCCGCAGGGATCTACCTTGGCTGGTCCGCCCTCACCATTCTTCCCCGATCGTGCAGGGCGCTCGCTTTCCTGCATTCTACATTTTCAGGTTTCCCCAGACCTGAGGCTCCCGTGGGCCATCGCATCGTCCGTGCGGGCGGAGCACGCGCCCCCTGGAGCAATCTCCGCTATCAGTGCGCCGTCTGTCTTTCTCTCTCTTTTTGGTTCGTCTCTCCTTCTCTTCGGCGCTAGCAATCGCTTCTTTTGCAGCCGCAAATTTTGAAATGGGCGTCTGCACATGTATTGCATGCAGGCATCTACGCCTCCCTGCGCCTCGCGCCTCCAGGCTGCGTGCCCGCCTGGCTCCTGGGCAACCACCATGCGATTGGTTCTGTTTGGCCAGCCGGCCACGCAGGGCCCCTGTGCTGACCCCTGACGGTTTATTGCGACGGCATTCTGACTGGCTGAGCCCGGTCTTGGGATGTTTCGTTTCAACGGGATCCCTGCAGGGGGCCTTGGGAGGAGGGACGGCCGTAATGGCGCGCACGGCAGCCTGCGAGAAGGCCGCAGGGCCCCTTCAATGTCGGATGAGCTAGCGCTGGATTCTCGTCCTAATTTTGAGGTGTTGGCTTCCATGGTCCGAGGGATGCCAACCACGAAGCCATGCCATGCCATGCCATGCCACGACTTCAGCCGGAATATTCGTCCCACGTTGGCACCCATCCACCCATCATACATGCAGGCATTGCTCACAAGTTCCCCGCGACCCAACCTGCTGTCGGAATCTTCCACTCCACAGCCACAACTAAGCGCGGACATTGTTCTCTGCACATTAGTGCGGGAGAAAAAAAAAAGATTTGTCGTCCCAAAGGACAGCCTGCAGCGGAACCAATGCATTCGTGCATGAGCAACGTGCGTTTCCCATCTGCCAACAAACGCAGTAGCGTTGTGCTATTAGTTGGGCTGGCCGGCAAAAGCAGGCTGGGCTCCTGGAGGAAGCATCCACGACATCGTGACGTCCCAGTCTCTGCTGTTGGTTGGCATGGCATGCCTGGAAAAAAAGTTGGCGTGCACGGCTGCATGGTTGGCTGCGGATCGCCGTAAGCCTGGCTCGGCTCCGCAGATGTGGTGACGGTCGCTCCAGTTGCCCTCCACTTGCCTCCACTGCCCCCACCACCCAACTGGGCTCTCCAGACCCAATCGTTGACGTTGGCGATCCCAAAAGTGGTCGAAAGTGGCTGGCAGCCGTGGAGATCAAGCTCCTCACGACTTGGGGCCATTGACACCCACTGGCGCCTGACTTTTATCCATACTACACCACGGGCATGTACCTTTCGATTTCTCTACACATTGATGAATCACCTCATGCAGGAGCACTGCGGTGGGTGGGGCTTCCGCTGGCCAGTCCTTTAGTTTGTTTCCGGTTCCGACCCCTTTCGTATTCCAGGTTGAACAGGCAAACTGGGAAAAGCTTGAACCCCGCAAGTCGCGCCGGGCTTGTCTTGCCTGCCGGATCCGCAGCGTTTGCCGACAGAAATATCCCTGCGGCAGGAGATATCGATGCTTGTCCACTTGCGGAATACTCTGCCTGCACAGAAACTACAACCAACAAACCCGTATCGTGTGTGATGGCATCGACCCGCGTTTTTGCCGTTTCATCGCAGACCTCGCCCGGCCGAGCGGTGCCAGTGCGGCGACATCCAAACGCAAACACAACCTGCTTGTTGTGGTGGAAGTCTTCTTTGCCTTGTGGATTCCCTGACGCCAGAGCCTCCCGTCACCAGCACCAGAAACTTCCCCCAGCAAACACCCACGTGGGGTGGGACCAGCAGCCCCGAGCCGCGTTCGAAACACGGCCGCGGCGCTGTGCGCAATTGGCCAGGGGCTTGGGGGTGACACCTCCACAGAGCAAGCCCCCGTTCAGATCTCTCTGCATACCAACCGTAGACATTGGTCTGGCCTTCCATTCTCGTATGTAGGTTGCGAACCTCCCTTTCAGAGGGGTCGTGCGAGAGGGATGCACCGACATCGTCATTTACGTTATGGGACGATTACGCGCAAGACAGAACGTCCGTTGGAATGCGCGGTAGAATTTGCCATGCCAATGGGTGCAAATGGTACAAGGGAAAACCTCGATAGAAGCTGTCAACTTCACTTTACATAGTACTGCGGAGTCGCGGCCTCATCTCGTCTCTATCGGCAATATGTGATCTTTTGATGAAGCTGCAGCAACGGGCGCCAGAGGTGTCGTCATAGGGTGGCTGCTTGAGCAGAAGCCTTCAATGCCCGTTCGTCGGATGTTTCTATAACTAATCTACTGCAACGATTCAACCAGTAAAAATCGCAGCCTCGAGAGCTTCCTCCTATAATGGGATGAAACGTAAGGTAACTCGGTTGTTGTAAGTCTTGATGTGGGTTGGAGTGGGCTCATGGGATAGTGCAGTAAAATAGTAAGAAGAGGCACGAAGCAAAGATAGCCGCGACTTCCGTAGCTAACCAAGTGTCCTGAAGGATGCCTGGTGAGCGTTTGCCATTTTTATTCTCTCGATTCCCCTCGGACCTTGATACCTAGTGACGGAGACTCTGGGCTTCCAAGTCGCCCATCAAGGGAGCTGTGGCTGATGGTGGGGCGGAGCGGGTCCGACATGGATGTGAGCAGGTGGGAATTCCCGTGCCCCCCCCCCNCCNCCNCNCACGACGACCG